TAAGTGCTTCCTGGCATCCAAGTTGAACGTTGGTTCCCTGAGCTTCGATCTGTTGGAGTGCGTCCTGCCTTCCTCTGCAGGGGGGAACGGGGCTCTCCCCACCTCCGTGTGACACCCCCTCACATACCTGCATGTCGCCAACAGACCCCCTCTGAGTCTCCTCTTCTCCAGGCTGAAGAGACCCAGTGCCCTCAGTCTCGCCACATAAAGGGAAGACCAGTGGAACCATAAGAAGAACAAGGAGCACTGGAGGTGGAAGAGCAAAGGCAGCTTGAAGCAGAGATGGGAGGTGCAGAGCTGACGGAAGCCGAGAGAGAGAGGCCTTCTTGGAGAAGGGCAGCCATCAGGAGCAGAGAACACCCTGCTCTGGTGGACCCTCTCAAACTCGCGGCCCGCGGGCCAATTGCCGGGACGGTTGGGGCACGGGGGAGGGGCCCTGCGGCCTTCAAAGCGCCGGTGGCGCCCGGGCCGGCCTCCGGGAGCAACGCGGGATGAGCGGCCCACCACCACCGCGGGGGTGGAATACTTGATGCAGCCCAGCCTCGCCCAGACTCTACTTCCAGCGGCCCCCAGGTCAGTTGAGTTTGAGACCCCTGCTCTAGAGCCAAGGCGCCACTTTCAGGCAGTGGAGGGCGAGACCAGCAGGTAGACGGCAAAACCGGGACATTTCTTGCGTTCAGGGGAGACCCTCTCACCCGGATGGCACTGCAAACATCACAATTAACTCCTGGTGTCTCTACGTTTTCATTTGCCAAGTGTATCTGCATTCGCCAACTAAACTTAAAAAGCACTCATTTTATTGATTTCACATTATTATTATTTAGACTATTCATGTCCAGCCTTCCAATATCCATTATTTCGCAAGACTTTCAGCCCTGTTCAACTCCTTTCAACCCTAATGTCATAGTTAACCAAGTCTCTAACAGGTTGTCTCCAAGAAAGATGAAATCATGAAGACATTAAAGGATGAAAGATTTCCTCTAGTGGCTGGGGATTAGGAGTTTGATCAAGTAAGAAAGGTAAATAAAAAGGACCTACTTTACTAACAAAAGAAGCTTAACTTGTACTTTTAATGGGTTTGGTTGTACTAAGCTGTCCCAGGAGGGTCATTTCTCACTAAGAAAGCACCATATTAAGTTTATCAAATGTACAACACCTAAACATTGTGCCTTGGGGACTAGTAAGATAATATTTCCACTGAATTAGTACAAAAGCTTGCAAGCAGCATTTATGTATAGATTGCATAAAACACCAGAGCTTTTCTTAATAACATCAGACTGTCCTTACTATAATGGGAAGTACAGTGACAACTTTTTAAAAATGCTATTATCACTTTTCCTTGGAAAAGCTGCCAATGCGTAATGATTCTGTATCTCCTTTTGCATGGATAAGTCTTAATGTTCTTTTAAGGGTTCTGATACCTTTAATACCAAACTCTTAATGATGCTCTAAGTGAATTTGGGTGGTTTTAGTTCTTCCTGATTTCTTTGTGGCCACAGAAGTCCTGAAGCATTTTTTTGCCGTCTCTGGAAATCATGGAGAAATTCCCGTAGCATGAGCAGAATATTTATTTACTATTGACTTCCCGCTCAAACACTGAGGGCAGTTTATGGATTAAGAGAGGCTGATGGTCCAGAGGATGATGGGCTACCTCTCTCCTACTGGTACAGGAGGATCAGGTATAGTCACTGCAAGATACCCAGCTCTGCCTCTCTTTCTCAGCTGATCCAATGTGCTCCCCAGAGAGGTCCACCTGGCGCCATCATTATTTGCTTTTCGGCACCAGGCCCAGACCTTTTTATGTAAATGTTATTTTAATTGATTGTTAAATTATTTATTGCTTTTATCTAACTCCAGGACGTTTCCAATTCTGTATATTTTTGTATATTGTTATTTATTTGTTGGAAGCCGCCCCAAGGCTTATGCGAATGGGGCGGCATACAAGCACTCCAAATAAATAAATAAAATAAAGATTCCTCTGGCAGAGCAGCCAGCATGGCTGGCCAAATGGCGTCAATGTGAGACAGAGCTACACCCCCACTCAAAGAGCACGGCTGGGGTCTGTGGGTGCTCGTCGTTTTGACCTCGTCCGGAACCCCAGCCCAGGAGCTCCTGTGAGAGCCAGCCAGTGCCTCCTGTTTGGGGCACACGAAGTAAGCGGCATCCCCTTGTTATCTCTGATTCCCAGTAGTCCTCACACTGGGAATCCATGGGCTGGATGGGAAGACAGAAGTTTCCCATTCGTCTTCTGTTCTCGCTATGTGCCGTCAAGTAATCTCTGGCTTATGTGCGCTCCAGAATGCCGTTCTTGACAGCCTTCTTCAACTCTTGTAATCTCGAGGCCATGGGTTGAGGCATGTCATATTGGTTTTGTTCTTCTTTTGCCTTCAACAACACTGTATGTCTCTATCTGGTCTGTTTTAATTAATTTTACTCTGAGCCACACCAGGAACCCTTTGCAGGGTTGAAGAGTCAGACTAACATAAAAACAGGTCTGTATGGTCCAGTCAACAGTTATTCATGGCTTCCAGATAATGTTAAAATCCTAACAGTCACTCCATTTCAAAATAACAGGACCAGCTAACTCAGAAGAGTTGATATGGGAGGGTCTAACAAGCAAGAGAAAATCCCAAACATTACATTAAGTAAAAAGGTCTGTTTTCATAGGGCCTGCTTGTGTCGACGTATAGTTTGGAAAGACAGTTGACTTGTCTCCCCGCACCCTCATCCAGCCCCAAGAACAAATGCACAAGTTAATCACCGTCACTTCCTTTTTCCTACCAACCAAATAGTCTGAAGATATAGTGATGTCACAGTTACCGACTGTTGAGATGTAAGACCACAGCAATAATCATGCCTCTTTCATCGTATCAACCCAAAGGACCACCACAGACTAAAGTGGGAGGGATAGCACGTCTTCCTGATGGGTGAGGTATCCAGACGGCAGGACGCATCAGATCCATTCTTCAGCATCATCGCTAGGTAACGCCCTAGTAATTCCATCTTATGGGTGGGGGTGCCACCTGGCAAGTTTATATTGGACCATAAAGCCTCTTCTGGGTTTGGTTTATTGCATGCTTGAGTTTTACAGCCAGCCCTTGGTATGCTGACATGTGCAAAAGCAAGGGCAGTTGTAAAAGTAAAATGAATTAAAATGGAGAGATATGAAGTTCTAAATCATGGGTCCTCAAACTACAGCCCGGGGGCTGGATCAGGCCCGCCATGCCCATTTGGACCCATCATGCACGCACCCGCACCCATGCGCGTGCCCGCTGCTGCCGACCTCACCTCAAGGTGGGGAGGCAGTGATTTGCTCACTCGAAGAAAACGGTCTCCAAAACAAGCAAGCCACTGCCTTGTGCGCCCACCTGGAGACGCGTGCCCGCCCTTGCCTCAGCGCGCGCCCTGCACGCACCACCCCTGCCCCGGCCTGGGCGCACCGCTGGCACCACCTTTCTGGCCCGCGCACAGTACTGGCACCTTTCAACTGGCCCCCTGGTGAAAAGGTTTGAGGATCCCTGTTCCAAAATGACATATTTTGTTAATCAGACTTCGGTGGCATATCGATTTGGGAGTTGCTCAAAGACAGTTTCCAACAGTCATAATAAAAATGGACCTAAACTCTATAATGAACAAAAATGTTCCTAAACGTTTTTATCACTTCAGGCAGAGGCATCATTTTAAAAAATCAATCCATCCCTCAAATACCTTTCATACATTGATCAGGCACAAAGAAACAAATATTTGTTAATACTCAATCCCTTCGCTTGCAGATCCTTCTCAAATTTATGGAGCCATACCCACCAGATTTCCAAATAATATTCTGGTTTGTGACTAGAAAAGTTATCTTAGTTCAGATATATGAGGAAAGAAAATGCCCAACACACACACTGATTTCTGTTTTCCAGAAATTATATGGAGTCTAATGGGGCTATGGCTTGTGCCATGTTTCTGTGATAAAGCAGATACCTTGCTAGGTTTAATCCCTGGGATGTTAAAATGATCTCAGGGTTCAGAAAGGTTTTTCTCCATCTGATATTATGAGTTACCCGGCTGGCTGCACCTTCAGCCGGATTCCTTATCAGGCACTTTCCTATTTTCCATATACACCACCACTAAGCCTGAGGGTAGGAGCGTCTTCAGAATGATTTTAGTAGGCTGCTCCATCAAGGCTGCCAAACTTCTGAAGCCAGAAGGACAACCATAGCAAAAGAGAAGCGAGCACTCTAAGGCCAGAGTTGCAACGCTGCAACAGTGGTGCCCACACGTCTGCCCAACATGTGGCAGAACACTCCGTGTCCATATCGGCCTCATCAGCCACCTGCGGACACACCCTGGACAGCTCACAACCCGTTAGATGTCAAGGTCCTCATCGAAAACGACGGACGAACATCATCATCAGCAGGCCGCTCCAGGAGCCTGTTTTGCTTGAAGGGTGGGATAAGAGCCCTTCAGATAAGCACACGTGTACAACATGCTTGCGAACACACATGACGAACTGGCCCAAGTGCGAGCTGGTTCGGCTCCCCCAGGGAAGCTCGGCGTCGAGCCTACAGTTCCCGCCAAGAGCCGGGCGTGCGGGAGGGCGCCGCCGCGCAGGGGCACCCGCCGTTCCAGCGGCGCTGCGCTGGGGCGATCGCTGCGCGCCCGCGGGGAGCCAGCCCTGAGGGGCGCCGGCCCCCCAGGGCTGCGGCTTCCCGCAGGGCAGGCGCGCCTCCCGGGCCTCCTCCAGCTCTCCTGCCGCGGCGCTTTCCCCAGGGGCCGGGCCGGGCCGGGCCTCCTCCCGCAGCGCCCCGAGGGCCCAGGCCAAGCTTCTCCCTTCGCTCCCCTTAACGCCCCGCTGGCTCGAGCAGCGGGACACGCGAGGCGCCCGGCCGGGAAAGGCCTCCACGCGCGCCCGCCGATCCCCGCATGCGCCGTCGCCCGGCGACGCGTCCCGCTTGCCTTCCGAGCTCGCTTCTGCGCCTGCGCGCGCGCCTCCGCTCGTCGCCCGTGGCAACGGCCCTTCCCGTCCTGCCGCCGGCTCGGTCCTCCCGCGGGTCCGCACCGCCGCCATCGCCATCATGCAGGGCGAGGACGCCCGGTACCTCAAGAGGTAACGCTCCGCCCGGCCCGCGGCCGAGGAGGGCCGGGTGGGCGCGGCGGTGCTGCCCGAGGAAAGCGGGGCCGGAGGGGCGGCCGTGCGCGGGGCGCTCCGCGGGGCTCGGACCGAAGGAAAGGGCGGGAGGGCCGGCGGGGGCCGAGGGCGGCCCGGGAGGGCGTGCGCCTGGGGCTGTTGTGGCCGGGGGCTCCGGCGGGCGAGCGAGCGGCTCAGGAGCCCGGCCCTCCGCGCGCGCCCTGCCCGCGGCCCGCCCTTCTCCCCGGGAAGAAGGCGCCTCCGAGCTCTGGGGGCTTGTCACGACCCCCGCGTATCTCTCTGGGCTGGTCCTGGGTGGGTCGGGGCCCCTTCCTCGGAGCACTGCGGTCCGAGGGGCCTTGTGCCATCATGGCATGCGAGAAGAGCAGGGCCGCAAGGGCCCGATCAAAAGAAGCCGTTTCAGTGAGCTACAGGAAAATCGGAAAACAGCTGGCGGAAATGGCTGCTCTGGCATCATGTAAACACAGGCCAGCCGCTCACCTCTCTGGCTATCAGATTGGGAATAGTAGCTCCTGCTTTAGCTAGATGCGTAAAGCACATTCTGCATTAAGATAATGTGCAAGTAATGCATATTGCGATCTATCTGGAAAGTGGTGGAAAGGACTGAGTCCTTTGTTTACATTCCTGATGGAAAGTGGTCATTTAACATGATGTGAGTTCTGTTATTGCCCGATGAAGCACAATCTCTCTTCCCTGCTTTTTGATGTTGGGAGATGTTTTATTAGTGTTTAAGTTTATTGCTTTTAAAGTTGAACAAGACCATGGACAAGGAGTAATGAAAATTAAGCTTTCGTATCATACATAGGGGACTGCAGGTGGCACAGTGGTTTAAATCGCTGTGCTGCTGGGCTGGTTGATCGAAAGGTCACCAGTTCAAATCTGCACAATGGAGTGAGTTCCCGTTGCTCCATCCCAGCTCCTGTCAACCTTGCAGTTCGAAAGCATGCAAATGCAAGTAGATAAACAGGTACCACTTCGGTGGGCAGGTAACAGCGTTCCGTGCACTTCGGTGTTTAGTCATGCTGGCCCCATGACCACGGAGACTGTCTGCAGGCAAATGCTGGCTCCCTCGGCTAGGAAACGGAGATGAGCACCGCCCCCTAGAGTCAGGCATGGCTGGACTTAATGTCAAGGGGAAACCTTTACCTTTTATCATACATAAACTATGTAACAGATGCTGTATAAAATAAAAGGTGATACCTGTCCATTTGTCTTAAAATGTGATAACTGTAAAGGCGCGGAATGGAAAAATACACCAAGGCTGCTGGTTGTCTCTAAGTTTCTAGTGTGGTTGTCTTTTACAAAGCTGGACTTATTTGTGTCACCAGTATTTTTAAAAACTTAACAGGAAGGTGAAAGGAGGAAATATAGATGTGCATCCTTCGGAAAAGGCACTTATTGTTCACTATGAAGTGGAAGCGACAATTCTTGGGGAGATGGGAGATCCTATGCTGGGAGAACGCAAGGAGTGTCAAAAAATGTAAGCTTACAGTATGATTGTTTTCAGAAGTTTTTGATAACATCTTGGGAAAATCTGACCTTCCCTTTTCAAAGGGATGAATGAAATGGAATTTATTTTAGCTTGTCTGACATACTTAAGGCTCCATCCAAGGATGCCCATAATTCTCCAAAGATAAGGCTGTGCTTTGCTCCTCCGCTTTGTGTCCCCCGAGTGCTGGCTCCAGGGTTGGCCCTGGAGCTGCAACCAGTGCAGAAAGAACCATGCCAGCTACAAGAGTAGAGAAAGCTCATTCCACATTCTAGCATTGAGAAACCATAAGATTATAACCAAAAATGTAAAGAAGATTGCTATATTAAATTTGCATGATGTATAATATTACATGCTGTATAAATATACCTGAAGTTTTTTCATTACTGTAAATTATTTTTATTAGAAGGAAAATACAGCGCATGTAGGGCACAATCGTATGCACATTTAAGTAGAAAAAAAGCATTACAGGCATGATCTTACATAAGTTTAGAGAGAAAGAAGGCCTATGGTTACCAGCATGCAGTTAGCAGTGGGGAGATCATTCCACAGTTGGTGGCAGGGTCATCTTCTGGGCCTCTCTTGGGGGAGGTACTCAGAGGATTTTCATATATGTGTATAGCATATACAGTGGAAGAGGTGCTTAGTCCAATACTGTGGTCCTGAAGCATCTTGAGTATACTTGGAAACATACAAGCACCTCGTGCAAGTGGGCCAGAATTGGCCAAACCTTCCCCATTATCAATCAGGACAGTGCATTTTGCAGAAGCTATTTTCAAAGGCAGCCCGATGTAGCCACATGACCATAGAATCTAACTGGGAGGTTATCAGAGGATAGACTGAACCGAGCTCATCCCTGTCCAGTTAGGGGTGCAGCTGGGCCACCAGGCGTTCCATTCCACTGATACTAACGGCTCCTGGAGAATTCCCAAGCTGTGTATCTGCTCCTTCAGGGGGATTGCAGAACAGGTTGACTTCATCTGGCCAGACGAGTCACCTACCAGCAGCATCAAGCACCAGAGTGATAACCCTCATCTGGTCTACTGTCGCTGACAGGTGCTGATTTAGCACACCCACAGCCTCACCCCTTGAAGGTGAAAAAGAGAAATAGAGCCTTGTCTCTTCGGGATATTGATGGGTGCTGCATTCCAGAATTTCTGATGGCCTGACTCAGTGGTTTCATCTTGAGGTCAAGAAACATGGGGACAAAACTCATCCTTGTGGAACCCACTACTACGCAAGAGCCCCCAATTTCTGGAGCTAACTAAGTAAGAGCAATACCACAGCAAAGCAAGATCCATTTGCTCTTGGCTCAGACAGTTGCTCTTTGCATACACTAGGAATTGCCTTATCTCAAACCATTTACTGCTAATCTAGTAGTCCCCATTGCACTTACTAGGTTATTTCTGGCATGCAGCCCAAGGGTGTTTGCTCTAAGGCTATGGCTTGCCTGGGGCTATTCTATTATTATTATTGCTATAATCATCACTGTCAAGTCTGTACTGTCCAATAACTGAAGCTCTCTGTGTCGTTTATTCAACATGTTTCTAAATGAGCAACAATTTGGTTTGGGCCATACAGTTAAAATCAGATGTCTTATCCACTGAACCACATCGAGTCTTGACGTATAGAAAACATCCTTCTGTGGAAGATCCAGGCAGCATTTGTTCACTCAGTGAAACACAGAACAGCTTATTTAGGCTTTAGAGATGTTGTGCACAGTACAGGAATCAGAATGCAGGATGTTGCACGGATCCAGGCATCTGGTGTTTTGGCCTTGGCAAAAATAACATTGAAGGTGACTGTCGATAGCAGGTCGATTATTGGTGTCTATTGATTCATATTATAATTCTTATACTCGTTAGCTTTGCATTTTCTTGTGTGCTTTCTGCATTCTGTGTTAGGTTGCATGGCCTATAATTAGTGCAGTTGATAATTTTGACTTATTTTATATTGTTAACTTGTTTTATATTTTTATTGTATAATGTTTTAATTGATATGTTTGTGAGCCGCCCCGAGGCTTCGGCGAATGGGGCAGCATAGAAATTTTCTAAATAAATAAATAAATAAATAAATAAATAAATAAATAAATAAAGCAAATATCTGGATACATAGTGCTGAGTTTGGATGTGGGCTGTGTCTCATGGCTAAATAGGTGGGCTCTTAACCATAAAAAAATAAAATGCCATGACTTGATTCTCAACGTAAATGCTTGAACAATGAAAAAGCTTTAAAAATCTTGACTATAAACTTAAAGGCAAGTGCCAAGTATATGGATTTGCACAAACCAAGGGTGAAAACTTTTGCTTTGTGCTTTTCAGCATTCGGTTGAAGAGTCTTAATGCAAATACAGATATTTCTTCCCTGGCTCGGAAGGTGGTGGAGGAATGCAAGCTTATTCACCCCTCCAAGCTAGCAGAGGTGGAACAGTTGCTTTACTACCTGCAGAACCGCAGAGACACCTCATCAGCAAAAGGTGGGCAAAACAAGCTTTTAATGGCCTCAGGAGGGTTTTTTAAAAAATTTCTCAGAGTACTGCAAAGAGGAGAGCACTGCTGAGGGCAGCTTCTGTTTTATCCAGAAAAACTGGTAGAACTTGAAGAGCAATTCGTTATTGGTCAAGCATAACATTGAAAAAATGATTAATCACTTTGATTAATCAAGCAACATAAATAATGTTGCAACTGAAAATTATTCTCTCAGTTTCATCTATTTTAGATGAAGAAAAACAAGCAAACTAGATAGAGAACTAGTCTGCTCTGGTGGTGGGGGGGCAGCTCCGGGCGATTCTTTGTCACTGGGCCCCTCTTGGGTTGCATGCCCTTGGGAGGTGCCCCATGACACCCCATTCATTTCGGTTGGTATTTTTTAATGTAGAAAATGGTGTCCAGAGCATTATGGAACGTCCAAACGAAACGTGGGGATTTGCAAGCTAGTTATAATCCACTGGTCTCTAGGCATCACTAGTGTTTCTTCTGTTTGTTTTAATGGAGGAGTCATGGGGTAGTGCTCCTCTACACTTCTGTCTTATCCCCCCATCCCCAGGAGCTGTGTGTGTTATGCCCAAGCAAGAAGCAGACCAGCCTCACGGCTCATCTTTGTGTTTTTAGAAATGGAGATCAGCCACTGCAACTGCTTCGTGTAATCTGATACCTGCAGCACCCGGCCCTTAGCGAATTCATTTTTCAGACTGCAGATGTGCATTCTGAGACTGGCTCTGTTTGTGCTGACCATGACACCTGGCCTGTGTTTTGCACTTTATTTCTTCCTGCTATCCCATGCTTTATTTGCGTGAAGAGTTCTTGGGAGCTCAGAAGCATGCATGATTTTGTAGAATTTCAGTAGGTCCTAGTAAAGGTATTGATTATTTTCCTCAGGTAACAACAGGGCTACGTTCTGTTTTTTAGTACTGTAAAGCAATGACTTTTTTCCCCTTCTAGACAAGAAAGAGAAATCCAGTAAGCCAAAGGATCCACCACCTTTTGAAGGAATGGAGGTAGGTCGTGTTACATTTAGAGGACTCGGATCCATTTAAACTTGGTCAGGTAGGTCCAGCTAAATGTTGCTGCATCACTGGATCTTTCAGATGTTTGATTATAGTACTTGACATAACCCTGGTGGCAACTTGTCTATTATTAGGGATGTCCTTCAATTTTTTGGCCCATGGAAAGGATGCTCGGCATTGACTGTAATGTCTTCCTATGAGCAGCACCCTTAGTCATTATGGCTGGTTAAGGCAACTGCACAAGGCTTAAAGGACATCTTGAACAGATTTTTCTCCATTTCAAAGCTACCAAAATTTCTGTTAACATATAACCAACTAACTGTGTAGTTGATTTATTTGTGCACTCTTATATATGCCAGGAAAATAGTTTCAGGATTAAATACATGCTTCTCCTTAATATTGCCATGTATTTTCCTCCTTTTCATAATGTTTTTGTGACGTATAGACTGATATCTTTGGGGTTTTCTGAATCTAAAGAAAGTTTATTAAGCAGTGCATATGCAGTTATAAGTCCACTGAAAAATAAAAAAATATTATGGGCAGCACAATCATGTTTATTTTCTTTAATTACATTAATCATGTTTATCTGAAAAATGTATAAATTGCTCAGTTTGTAGTAGGGTTATTTTGTTGAAACCATGGGTTAACACACAGTGGTCAGGTTGCATATTCAGAATGTCCCCTGGCCCATACCTCAACTCACTATAGATTAAACAACATCTGGAGAGCCCAGCTTGTTATGCAAACTGGGCCTGCATCTAAACACAAAGATAATTCAGAACAGGAAAGAATAAAATTACTCAAAATTAACCTTGATTGTGTAGAGAAAAGCATGTTTAAATAAAGTGTATTTTGCAAATACTGGTAAGAAAGTGACATGGCACCTGCCAAATGGCAGGAGATCCCAAGAGAAGGAATGAGTGCTCTGAAGGTGCTGCTCCATGTCAACTCTGAGCAGGCCTCAGGTCTTGAGGCTCCACCAGCAGCGCCTCCTCCAACAGCCGTAGTGACCGGGTGGGCTGCTGTCCTCGGAGCTTTCAGCATCTTGTCTCTCCAAGGCTCCTTTGGGTCTGTTTATACCAGATCTCATTCCCCGCTTTACTAGAATGAATGACTCCCTTGGATGCAGCCTGGCTACTGGGACTCATACTTTCTCATGCTGGTAACTGCATTTTGTTTCCTAGCCTATTCAGACTTTCTTTGCATCTGTTTCATGTGCGTAGATTGATGAAGTGGCCAATATCAATGACATGGATGAATACATTGAACTGCTTTATGAAGATATTCCCGATAAGGTGCGTGGTTCTGCACTCATTCTGCAGCTGGCCAGAAATCCTGATAATCTGGAAGAACTTCTGCTTAATGGTAATTTTAAGCTTCTTAATAAAATTGGGTTAACTTTTGCCTTGGTAACTAGAGTAACTAGTCTGTGTGCCGATTGTTAGGTTTAGGTGCCACGTGTCTCGTAGGCTTTGCGTGCTTTTTTCTCATTCTAAAAGGCTGAAATGCCTGTCCTACAGTTTCTGGGCTAGCAGAGGAAAATGTCATGCAAGTGCCTTACGCTGAGTCACACCGTTTGTCTGTCTGTAGAAACAAAGTAAGAACCAAGTGTAAGAACCAAGTACAAAGGCTTTACAAACCTTTACCTAGAGATGCTGTGCATTGAAGCTGTGATTTTTGACATGCAATGCAAGGAGAAAGACACCTAAGCTATGTGTTCTTGGCATCTTTGGCTTGGCATCTTTGGCTTTGCACCCTTTTGCATGCCCCCCTCCCCCGCCCCCGACAGCTTATGTGAAATTGAAAGGAACCCTTGACCTGAAGGAGGGTTGGTACCACCTCAGATATTAATATAAGCAAATTAGCCGAATTCTCTGCTGTCTGCTGCTGAAATAGATCTTACTTTCTTCTTACTCTTTAGAAACTGCTCTGGGTGCTTTGGCCAGAGTTCTACGAGAGGACTGGAAACAAAGTGTAGAACTTGCCACTAATATAATTTATATTTTCTTCTGCTTCTCTAGGTATGTCTCATTACATGATATTTAAATATGTTTGGAATCTTTATTATGTGGTTATATCATTTATCGGTGTTTTGGGGGTCAATGGTGGAAGAGGGTTTGATTTGAAGCCATTCTGCTTTGGCTTATTTACATCGGTATATTTCTTAATATAGCTTTTCTCAATTTCATGGACTTATCACACACTACAAAATTGGAGCTCTGTGCATGAACATAATCGATCATGAACTAAAAAGACATGAGCTCTGGCAGGAAGAACTCACAAAGAAGAAGAAAGCTGATATCCTTTCACTTTATAATTAGTCGGCTTCTCTTTAGCATTGTTATTTTTAATGAATAAGTGGGACTTGCCCAGAGTGCTGCTGTTGAAGGTTTCCTTCAGCCATGGCCTCCTGCAGGATTGCATCCTCGCCCCAGCATCCTGTCATCAGTAGGGCTTCTTCTTAAGAGGTTGTTTTGTTTTGGTGCTTTTATAGAGGTTGAGGTTTCCTAAGCATGCTGATATTTCTGTTTTCTGTGTGAATAGTGTTGTATTGGTGACATATGGATCCACACTTTTAGAGCTGAATTTACTATTGTTATCTATGAAAGAGAAAATAATTTTCATGTTCTTGACACAGTAAATTTCCTAATTATTAATAGATTGCTTTTTCTTTGAGGAGCTGCTGGATACTATCTTCCAGTCACTTCTGGCAATTCATGATCAAATAATGCTTTTTCAGGTTTTGTTTTTTGCCTTTTCTAATGTTTTGCACATGTCCTTAACTCCAAAATTCACTTGATGAAGATCCAGATAATCAAACCCTTAAAAAAGAATATGAAAAGACCTTTAAAAAGTACCAGGGGCTGGTTGTCAAGCAAGAGCAGCTACTTCGAGGTACAAATCCCCAATTCCCAAGATATGAGTGTATAGAGGCTACTTTCTCAATCTTTAATGGAAAATTGTGCAAAGGATTAAATATTGTGCATGTCTTTGCCCCATCTGCTAGAACTGAAACTTTTGTTTTTTACTCAGCACTGTTATTTTAGTGATGCTCCTTGTACCAACTTTAGAAAAGAAAGGCTCCATTAAAGGGAGTCAGTCCTTTGAGGTTGCACAAGGAAGAGGCCCGTAGAGAGGAACAGCAGACTCTGAAAGGTGTTTAAGAATTTGAGTGTGGTATTGGGAATGAAAATGCATTGAACAAAATTACAGTTTGTGTCAATTAGACATTAGATGCAAGTACGACTAGGATTAGGGAGGCTGCAGGCAAGACAAGCTCAGAACTCGCTCCAGCTGGACTGTTCCTTCCCTTGGTGGGGCTGCTGCTTCCAGCTGCCATGTGGGCATGATTCTAGGAGAGAGAGGGAGGCAGGGAAATACCATCTCAGGTGCCTGCTCAAGCAGGATTTCCTCCCCGTGGGTGCTTCTATCACCAAATCTCATATGAGATGGATCCTTACAAGGCTTTATATTTTAATATTGCTTGTTATCCTACTAACATATTTTGCCACTTGTAAGCTGTCTTCAAAGGATTTGTATCCTAGAAAGTGGGATATAAATAATTGTACTAAATACAACTACTAATAGTGCCAACAACAGCAATATTAGACGAGGACGATTCTTCTAACTAGCATGAGATTTTACTACGTAGCTGGGGAGAAGTGTAACATTTTTAATGGATTTCATAAAAGTGAAAATACGATTGCAGAACACTTGCAGAAAATATGATTGCAGCCTGACACTTTTACCATTTGTTGCACTTACCTGAAGATTTCAGGTGCTGCTTTGGTTTGGGCTATGCTTAGGGAAACACCATTGATTTCAATGGAAATTGAATGTGTGCAATAAGATGGCAGACTCGGAGTGCAATTAACTATTTGGATCTAGTGTGCCTTTATTTTTGCTCATAATTATGTGACACTTTCCAAACTCCTTAGCTAGCATGTTTAACTGGTACAATGATTCATTTTAACATCCTGCTCGTCTAGTCACTGCCCATAAATTCCAGACCAGCAGTATTACCTTGCGTTGTAGTTGGTGTTTTGAAAAGAGCCAGGGAGAGGGAGGACCCATTGTTTCAGGCCGCAATTGGATATATAGCTTGGCTTTTGAAGTTTAAATACAGTCTGTTACCATCCTGTTAAGGGAGAGTTGGTGTAGGTAGACATGGCGGGGTCTAAAGGAGGTGTAGGGCCCTGCAGTGTTCTGAAAACTGACCTATATGTTTAGATTTATTTTTTAAAAGTCTAAACCACAACTCTTCCTGGTCTCTGTGCATCACGCATCTGGGCTTTGCATGGAGCCTATTGTTGGGAAGCTGGAACTGAGCATTCGACTGGGTGGGAGCCTCTCCCCTTTCTGCCCCTCAGATCCTCCTTGACTCCTGTCAAGCCTAGACCGGGAAGTGCTTCTCTCTCCCCAACATTTTGACTTACTCTTTTCTCTCCAAACCTCTCTGATCATCTCAGTCCTCTCTTTCTTCATTCTTTTGCTTAAAAGAAATTGCCAGAATATATTTCTGTGCACTTTTCTCTCTACCGCTCCCATCCCTACCAAATTGCTCCTCTACTGCTCTGCTCGTCGCAACCTGCCCACACTGCCAGGCCTCACTGAGTGGACTCACAAACACTGAGTGGATTGGCTTGAAGCTGACCTTTGGACGAGCGCCTTGCAGACCGCGGAGTCTGTGAGGTGCAGAAGGAGAGGTTGTTCACCCGTCAGGACTGCAGAAAGATCCCTGGCTGACCCCACCTCTCCAAGACTGAGCCACTCGCCTGGCATGCGACTGCGTGTCCATGGAAGTAGACATGCGCACCAAAAAGATGGCCACTGCCATTAAGAGGTGCCTCAAGAGCAAGGGAAGACCTGGTGCCCTCCCTGGCACAGTCACACCCTTTGGTACCATCCCTGGTGATGTCAAGATCCCTGGTACTGTCCCCGACATGGTTATAATCTCTGGCACCATCCCCAGTGTGGTCAGAACCCTTGGTACCAACCCCGACACGGTCAGCGGTCCTCAGCACCATCCCTGGCAGCACGTGAGCTTCAACACTGAGGGAGGAGATGGCCCAAGAGGAGGCCCTGGTCTCCCGCCCGATCAGCCCCTGGGGTGCTGAGACCGAGGCGCCCCACTCACCCCCCCCGTGCCCGCTGACCCCACTGAGACCCACAACCTCAGGCCCCGGGACTAATCTTGCTCGCCCCTTATCAGGTGGGACCATCCCTCAGACTGGTCGCCATCCCTTTATGTATAGACTGCGAAGAAGCTGTTCTCTCCCCACCCTAGTCTAGGAAGGGGAGGGGCTCTTGCCCAATGGGGCACTGTGGAAGCTCCCTGACAGTGGACTCTGTCGGCACAAAACCCACAAGTGGGAGCGCACAGGTGGCCACTCGAAGAACGACAGGTAAGGGCAAGCTGCCTGCTCTTATCCCCGGTAAAGTAAAAGAGGTGAAAGAGACGCAGTGGCTTGCCTCCACTTTCCGTTGCAATCAGTGAGTGAGCAAAGAGCACACTTTCATTTCAGTAGACTTTGGCTGAGAAATATCATAGTTACTGAGAATTTTAGAAGCACTTCATGTATTTGTAGAATGGTATAAGCCTTCAAGTTTTCAGTCTCTTGCAGTGTGATTTGTTTTCTCATAATGTGCCAGTTGCCCTGTATTTGCTGCTGAATCTTGCGGAGGACACTCGCACCGAACTAAAGATGAGAAACAAGAATATTGTCCACATGCTGGTGAAAGCTCTGGACCGAGATAACTTCGAGCTGCTGATACTGGTTGTATCATTTCTGAAGAAACTCAGTATCTTTATGGAAAACAAAAATGATATGGTAAATATTGTTGCACTCCACTGTTTGGTGGGAAGATAAACAACAAAAGAAAATAGAATTTCTTTCCTGATTCCAGTGCTGACTTTATCTGTATCTGCTTTGCATAGGGTAGCATCATCTTAACTAATGCAAAAGAGTCCCAAGAGCTGTCTTTGCCGTCGGTTGAAAAGAATCTTGAGTAGCAGGGCGCAAAAAGATCTCTGGCTGATTCTTAGAAAGCCACAGCCAGTTGCGGTTGCTCAAGAGTCCCCATTGCCGACCCCACGGACACCCCAGAAGGGACTTCGTTCTGTCCACAAAGTTCTCCCCTCCCAGCTGCTCCTACTCCTGCCTTTTTTCCTTAAAAGGGCTGGGAACCCCTGCCATAGATAATATTGGGACAGATGGATCAATGTTAGCTTTCACCTCTTCTCTCCTGATTATCGTGAGCTGATTTGAGTTTCACAAGTATTGCCTTTCCTAGCCTTAGTGTCAACTTCTGTATTGAATTCCATTATCAGGATATTTGCTAGTAGTCTAATCTTGAGAAGGTTTGTGCGGTTTGTGTGTGCGCGCGTGTGTGCATGCTTATGTATGTATGTATGTATGCATTTATATGCCACCCCTCTGCTTCTAATGGAGTCTTATGCACCTCCCATTTTGTTTAATTTAATTAATTAATTTATTTATTTGAAGTTTTTCGCATAAGCCTCGGGACGGTTTCCAATCATAATATATAAACAATAGTACATATAAAATATATTTATAAGAGATTTGATTCAAAATGCGCTAGAGGATCACCTAAAAAGTGTTCTCAGAGCTTCCTAAAATTAGGCAGGAAAGAATGCTCTGAAATGCATTGTTGCCAACTTTCATGCATTTGAGTAGAGGAAGTGCAGGAGAGTCGGAGTAATGCCCAGTGCTCTTAGCTGCATCACTTTGCACTGCATAATCCTGCTATATTTAAAATGCCTGATTCTCTATCAGATGCCCTTAAATTTAGTTCACATGTTGGGCATATGCCCTCCTACAGTTTTTGTTGTTTTCAGGAACTAGGGCGTAAGCTTCCTGATCCATTTTAGTTTTGCTTCTTAGTGGAAAGAAATAGATGTGCTTTTGCTCAAAACCAAACAAATACTGTGGGTTAGATCTAGATGTAGTCAAGATTAACTTACATCCCATTGAGTTCAGTGGGTCCAAAATGAGTGTGGCTACGTCTGGAATGGACTCAGTGTAAAGGATTGACACGTAGCAGAGAAATGTTACTGAGAAGATGAGAAACCCGATTCATCTGCCACTCATCATCAAATGTCCCCTTTGCTCTGTCCAGAAAAAACTGATACGTGGAAATGATACTGCTCATAAGTCTTTGGAATATAACTCCATAAGTCTTTGGAGTTATATTAACATTTAATTAAAAATCATGCCATTTAAAATGATTTGTAGTTGAACATGACCTTTGTTCATTTATCAAAATGAAGGGCAGTGTTCTATTGCCTAGAATGCATGCAGTGTCTCAGCGAGGATCACAGACTGGCAGATGGTTTCATCTCACCACTCTGCCCCTTTTTGGCCATCTATACAGTTATTTGCCCTTGAGTTGCATCCCAGAAGTGCTGCCCCATACTGTCACTAAAACAAATTACCTTCCACCTTTCCTGAATCATTGAACTGTGGCTGAAAAGTGCGTTTATTGCAGTAATCGTCAGCTAGAGGCTAATAATTAGGAATTGTTTCACACAGGTTGAAATGGATATTGTTGACAAACTAGTGAAAATGGTCCCGTGCGAACATGAAGACCTGCTGAACATCACTCTACGGCTTTTGCTGAACCTTTCCTTTGACACAGGCTTAAGAAATAAGATGGTACAAGTTGGGCTTCTTCCAAAACTCACTGCATTGTTGGGTAAGATTCATTCATTCATTCTAGTTCTGCATCTCTTTTCCTGCAAGGATCCCAAGGTGGCTTACAAAATCCTCCTCTGTTTTTATCCTTACAACCCCTCTGTGAGGTAGATTAGGGTGAGATCTCTTGACTGGCCCAGAATCAGCCAATAAGCTGCATGCTGCCCAAATGGGGCTTGTTAACAAGATCTCCTGAGGTGCATGCTAATCATTATGCTGCCCTGGTTCTCCTTGTGCTGTTATGGCTCCCTTTAACACTGCTGTTACGGCCAACACATAAGTGGTAACATTTCTTCAACACTTTATATTTGGTGTTGGTCTCTTAACTAACTTTTAAGTGAAGAAGATTCAAAATATCGTAGCAAGAGTGAAATTGGAGTTATCTCCAACGCTTGAGGTAGGAAGAAAAAGGGATTTAGGGCTGATCCTATGGATGTGCTGATAACTCTCAGAGAATTATGGGTATCCTACATAGGCTGTAGGAGCAGGGAGGTTGAGGTTTTCCCATGCTGCTCTTGCCGTGCAAAGGCCAATGGAATGTAAAGCTTTGAAGCAGGAGGGAAGGAAGGAAGGAGAACGGGAATGATGATTTCCCTCTCCCATTCATCTTCTTACATAATCTTCTGGCATGAAGACTTGTTGAGAGCCAGCTAAGCAGGTGAACAGACTGGAGCTGTTTACAGTAGTATTGGATTTCTGAACAAAATGATGACATTCATAGTACTTGAATAGTCACATTCTGTGGCTGATATGATCAAAGTATTAACAGTTACTTTAAATGACTGAAGGTCCTTTGGTACATTGTCACAGTCAGCACTCATTTTGTATTCTTCCGTAAGTGCAGAAGGCGAGCTCGCTGTGGGGAGGCCCCCAGCCCTGGGGCTGGTACGGCAGACTCCACTAAACTTCCTAAGGAGGCAAATATTGCCTGGGGAGGCAGGCATGGTAGAAGGAGCTTCATCTTCTTCTGACATCGGAAACCCCAAGCCTGGAGAGCCCTTTTCCCTCTTGCAGCCATTGTCTTCTCAGGCTTTGTAAAACTGGTGTGACCCGCTTTCTGAAACAAGGCAGGGTGGTGTTAGGACATTGGAAAAGAAATGGAGTGGCTTTAGGCCCACCTGAGAATAAGGGGGGTGACCTCTCCCACCCCTCCTCCACCCACAGAAGTGCTTAAAGCACCAGTTACGCTTTGGTATTCTAGCACTGCACTACCTGTTATTGAAATTACGGGATATCGATGTGTTGCATTTACACGGTGGAGAGGACCATGCATTTGAAAAGTCCAATGTAATAGAGAAAATCACCTTTTGCTGTACCTTTGAAAAATGACATATTCACAACACATGTCCCTCCCTTACTCATGCTGCAGACTTGCTCCATACGTAAAATGCTCTGTGAAAGTAGCTTGTAAAGCACAAGGTAATATGCTTGGTGGCTTGAATTACAGAAGGCATTGGTCATTTGCACCTGAACATTTTCTGATGCCCCTGAGAATGATCTAATTTAGAATGCTTATTTAACTTGGTTTAGTGGACGAAATGCTCAAGGCATGGGATACTTCTAATTTTCTTAACCAGTGCACCACAAATACTTGTGGAAGAAAATTAAATCACACGGATTTAAATGTCATGAGCAACCGCAGATGCAGCTTTGGTTGGATTCAAATAGGAGTGTAAGAAGAGGCTGGCTGGACCAAGCAGGAGGCATGCAGGACTGGGCTGTGTGCACTGGCATGCCACCTCCGAGGACGGAGGGAGCTCATAGCCAGCAAGGGTTAGTGGGCATTGAGGGCCTTCTCCTCCATGAACTTGCTCAGTCCCCTTTTAAAGCTGTCTTCGGGAAGTCAATTCCAGAGTTCAACTATGTGCTGTGTGAAGAAAGACTTACTTTGTCTGTCTTGAATCTTCCACCTGTCAGCTCTGCTTCTTGGGCATAGTTTGAAACGAGTTTTCTTCTAGTGCATCGTGATGTGTGCTGTTTGAGAGACACAGGCGGATACTGCCCAGTAGCGTGCATATGTTCGTAAGGAAATGCAGGGGATGTGTTATTTGAATGTAAGGAAAAAGCAAATCTACTGAAAACTGCCGACACTTTAATTCCCTTGCTGCAGTATTCTGGGAGTAGTAATCCAGCCACTGCATTCACTAATTTTAGCAACCCAAAGAGCCACAGGTAGGGTAGCTGGCAATTACTTTCCGAGAGAGTTCTGTCTTGGGGCACTGGGTCACATGCAGTTTTGGTGTCACTGTTTGTTCGCTCCTTTCACATGGACATGCAATTTACTGACTCAGGTGAGTCAAGAACCTTGAGACGTGCAGCTGTAGAGAAATCACCTGTGATTTGCCAGTGTACCTTGTACAAATGGCTGAGTTGATGAGCAGAACATCCACTAGTAAATTGTGTCTTTCTGCCTTTGGCTCATGGCATAAGCGGCTACTAGGCTGATCCGGTTTATCACCTTTTTAAAGCCCGTTCTATGTAAGAGCTGTGGCCTCAGTTTTTATTAAAGTTCTGCTATTTTATTAATGCTGCTTTCCAAGAAGCTTTAAGTCAACACTTTCTTTAGGACCTGGTTAGGCTTTTTGAAATGGATTTAATATGCAGTTTCACACATTTATTTGAGAAAGGAGCTTCTTACTGGCTGCAGCCATGTTTTTCTAATTTTAATAAGGCTAATTCCTCTTATAAAGAAACATACATTTTCCTACCTGATTAAGCGAGCAAACAATAGGGGTTAGATGTGGCAGATTGTAACAGAAAGCACATGTTCTGCCCTGAAAATGCAGCAAAGTCTTATCAAGATTGCTTGAAGTTATTCATGGCAGTAAAACATTATGCTTCCTCCTGCTTTCCCAATTAAATGGGGAAACCTTTATTCCTACAGCAGTTTTGCCAACAGCTGGTTCCAATATTTTCTGTGTGAACGTTGCCTAAGGTGTCCATTTCTTCCTAGCAGCAACAGGCTGAGTCATATTAAGAATAAAGGGACTGGTCTATTGGAAAAGAGATCTGTTTTGAAGGAGAGTTTTGTGCTGTTTGTACCATGCATGGAAAAAAAAGGTTGTGCCCCTCAAGTCCATTCTTGGGTGCCATCCACATAGGCCTGGAGTTGTCCAGATGGATGGTGCAGTGGCGGGAACGGTTGTGCTTGTGCAGTGCCCCCCCCCACTCCCCCAGTGCTGGATTATCTTAGTCAAGTGTGGGTGGGAGTTGGAAGGTGTAGCTCTGTCCAGGTGGCGTGAAAGCTTAGGCATTGGCTAAGATTTTCTGCCAAACATAAATGGCAGGTATCTAAAGTAATGCTAAAGTTTAGTGGAAGTGAATAATCAATATTGAGGAAGGGAGGGATAGGAAATGGAGGTTTCAAGAAGGTTTTATATTAAGCTTAATGCCAGCTTCCAAGAAAACCATTGATGCAATTAAGTGGCCAAGTCCTGATGCCGCAGCAAACCATGTTTTACTGTAAAACCCATTGAGTGGCCTTAGTGTTGAAATACAGTCAACCATGTAAATTGTATGCACAATACTGAATCATTAAGGGCATTTCTGCACTGTAGTTTACGTCACTCTTTGTCTGCGGTTTTTAGCTTCCAAAATATGCAGCTTGTTTCTGGCTCTTGACCCCTTTCTTACTGATGCATATTGGCTTTCTGCACATCTCCATGGAACTGAGCTGTGACTAGGAATGTGTGGGCAGGTGTCTTATGTCTTTAGATATTTATATTTATTAAAAAAGAGAAATGTGTGCTCTTGTATGCTATCGTTATGCTAAAACATCACAATGGCAACCAGTGGGCAGAACAGCCACGTATTCCTGTTACACTGTCAGATCCAGGCATACGCTACTGCTGCTCAGACGGAATGGCCGCCATTTTCGTGTGTGTGTTCAGCCTCGGAGGGAAGGGGAAGAGACAGTGTAGTAGGGAGATCACAGAGGGTGCCTACAATGCCCTTTCCTCTGGCCTGAAGTGCTCTGTCACGTCACGCATAGTAGTTGGCGTGGACGGAGGGTTGCTTGTCAGGCCTGTGTCTGGAAGCTCGAGGCTGTGGATTTCCGGGGAGAAATGTTAGCCATGTATTCACCCCGCTGTGAATGCTCTGGAGACAGACGGTTGGTGCGAAGTGCTCTTACTCCATCGTTTGTCACAGCAGAGTCTCTCCCCAGACCCTCCTGGGAAACTTGGAGGGTGTGATGTGTGAGGCTGGAGAGGCGTTGTCCAGTGCCCGGTCACATCTAAGTTGTGATCTTCCTGTATGCAGACTGTACTGGTGGCGGCATGGGAAAATAGGCACTAAGTTCCACATACCTTGTGCGCTGCTGTGGTGAGAACAGCCTAATATCAGGAGTTGATGTTCTAATAATTCCTAGCTAAATTGCTGCAGTGCATTGTTCTTTAGGCTGCCTTTGAAGATGGTTCAGAAACTGCACCCAGTGCAGAACTCAGTGGTTGGGTTGTTGACTCGGATTAGATAACGAGAACATGTAACTCCAGTCCTGTGTTACCCGAACTTGTCTATTTCCAGCCCCTACTCAGAGAGCTGGTTTTAAATTTTTAAAGCTCTACTGCTCTCTGGACCACAATCCCTCAAGGACCACTAATTCCCACTGGAACCCACAGAGTCCCTCAGGTCACCTTCACAGACTCTCCTCTGTGCACCCCTGAGGGAAATTTGGGCATGTATGCCATTACAGGAATGGGCTTTCCCTGTAAGAGCTCTAAGTGTATCGAGCGCTTTACAAACGGAGGTTTGTCAGGCGGCGGCACTGCCAGGTGAATCTCTCGCTTTCTTTGTCAGGGCCTCTGTTCCTCACACACATGGGTGCTGTGCCTGCGCAGGGCCTGTAGCCAGATGGCCGTGTGAAGAAGGACCGCTACAGGCGAGCAGCCTGCCTTTTTCAGGCATCTGGGTATTAGTGATCATTGAATTCCTGTGGGTTGCCCTTGCGATACCCACTCCAGGCTGTGAGCAAAGGTGGGGTGGGGGTGTATTCACACGTGCATGCCTTTCGTATTGTACTGGTTTTAGATTTTATTTTGTTATATTTTTACCTACATTGTTGTTCTGCTTATGGTTTATGTGGATTTTGAGTTTTTTATATTACACGTAGTATGGATTTCTATATTGTGTGTTTAAATCACTTTGAGTATTTTTTTGGTGGGAAACAATAGGTACATTCAGTAAACACTCATAACAACAGGGATAGTAATTGGCACGGAGGCACACACAGCAATGCACTACTGTGCACGCACACCCCCACACACAGATTGCTTCCCTTGAAATGCATGGAGAGGTAATTCCTTGATCCGTTGCAGGTTTTGCTGCCACCAGGGGTGTGATTGTGGTTTTGTGGAGTAAAGAGCAAAGCATAAGTGGACTGCCTTCCATTGCTGCCCCAATCCTGCCTGTGCCTCTGCCCTGTTTAATTATACCAGTGTAACTGGTAAATCTAGGCATATCCAGTGAGTTCTAACAACATATCTGCCATTGCGGCAGCGTATCTTACACTACCAACATATCCTGTTATCCCCTAGCTGGTGTAATTTGACTACAGGACTGCTTTGCCCATGTACAGAGTATTATTTGGGGGAAACAGAAGTGCCTTTGGGCTCATTAGGGCATGCATTTAATGCTTAGCCCTGGGGAGTAGACGAAGGTGATTGGGAGAGAAGTATAAGAATGCATTTACATTCTACATTTGCCTCGCCTCGCCTGAGGTTTCATATGACAAGGTGTAGCAGGGTACTATCTCTTTTTCAAACTGGCACTCCTTGAACTCTTCACAGGGTTCTCGTGTACTTGTATATGTTCTGACTTGTCCCAGTGCATATTCTCTAGGTCAGGTGCATCACACGGGTTCCAGTGAGTGGGGCAGAGAAGCAAGGAATTGGAAGATGTAAGGAGCTGGCAGGCTCCATTTTGTACTGTATTAGCTGTACAAGTGGTAGAACTGGTGTGCTGAATAGCAGAGTGAAGTAGTTCTGGTCTGTAAGTACTCTTAGATGGCTTGCTTAATGTTCAAAAGCTTAAAATAATTTTGAACTTTGGATCCATTGCATATGTAGTTGGAGCTTTTAATTTGTTGAAAGTTGTTGTGAAAACAGCCCTAGGGACATAATATTTTTCCACCCCAGCTGCTCTAGATGAACTGCAGCTGCAAATTTAAACAGAATTATTTCTATAAACCTCTGAGTATATTTTATAATGCCAGTAATTTCCACAGAAAAATCAGTTACTGCTGCTAATGATCTATTTGTTGAGCATTAACTGCCCTCAGCTGGGAATGACCAAGCATTCTGGAATGGCAGCATAAATGTGAAGGACAATTGAATAGAATTACTGAATAATGATTAATTAATGATAAAGATCTGTGGAAATAAATTTGAAGTACTTCTGACCACCCCATTTATTAGTCAGTGATCTCATCAGTGTTCAGAATTATTGCTATAATACATAATGTCCAGGCTGCTAGTTTCTAGATCTGTCCTTCAGTGCTCTGGCCAATCTACCATGAATCATTGCAATTATTATTTTTAAACTGCTTATCTCTGCAAGTCGTCATCGTTGTGCTTTTGCTCTGTCTTTGAAAAGCCTTGCGAAGGGGCTGCTTTGATGTTTGCATCTGAATCTGTGCCTTGCTTATGAAATACCACGGAATCTCACCGTCATCGTCGTCATCGTGGGTGTCAGTGCAAGTGCGCTGGTGGACGTGGTCCTTGCCTTCCTTTGTTGATCATCTTCATTCACTTGCCCACAGCCCAGCCTGGTCTGCAGAAGAACTGTGCTATCCAGCCTGCGGTGGCAGAGTTCATAGCCTGTGGATGTTGTTTGTTCAGCCCACCTCCCATCTGTCGCAGCTTTCTCCACCTGGCCAGATGGCTTGACTACAACACCCATCATCCCAACCAGTACTGCCTGGAGCTAATGGGAATTGTAGAACAAGATGCCTAGAGGCACTAAGGTTAGGACAGGTTGCCTGCAGTGTCTCCGTCCACTGACACAGCTGCTTAACAACCTAGATTACTACGAGTCTCAGCATCTCTTTCCTGTGCTTTCCTTATCATTTACAGTGGCTTCCTGGAAAATATAGCCTGTGTCTCGGTGGCAGAGAGTTTGTGCTTCCACACAAATGGGGGAATTGGAAAGGGATTCGGTGGAAGAAGTGATGGTGCAGTTCTGAGCGCTGGACCTGGTTGAAGAATTTGTAGAGGCTCTCCAGCCAGGCCCTGGCTAAATGCACTCAAGTGATTTGTTTAAAATGTTCTCTCAGATTTTGATTAAGTGAAGGATTAAATAAACTGCAGTGGAGATGCTGCTTACATAGTACTTCTTTGTGATGAAATGATAAGATTAATAAAGAGCTGACATCTTAACCTTTGGTTCTTGGCACTTGCCTATTATTTTGCCTATTCTGTACACTTTGGTCCAAAGGACGGCTTTAACAGCAAGGTGGTGATGTGGGCTTTTTAAAGGTTTATTTTGTACTTGGAGAGAAATAAGACCTATTATCAAGCGCTGATATTACACACCATTTGTAAAACAAGTCTGGACAGCTTAGGAGCACAGTGTTCTTCTTAGAATACTGAGAATCCTATTACTTGTTAAACAAAATATTTCTAGCTATTCTGGAGTAAGTTTTCAAATATGATGCAATTCTGCAAAAGAATCAGAAATAAGGAATATTTTCAAATACATGTATTTAGCTTGCTCAGATTTTCTTTTGATTGTGTTAAGTTTCTTGTGTTCAGATTACTTTTGTAGTTCTCCATCTCCATATTTTTTGAATTTCTGCTAAATTTAGGTTTTGGAGAGGTTGGACTAGCTTATTCTTTTTGGTCTGGACCATTCCAGCTTATTATTTTATTGGTACTTCAGTGTTTTATCACACTAAAATACCTTTTCAGTCCCATTATCTCAGTTGAAGAGATTCAGTAATTTATTTAATGTATCTCCTGCCATCCCCCAAAAGTGACTAACAATAAAAGCCAGATTAAAAACAAATATGAATTAAAACATAGCATAAAATGCCATTAAATATACAGCTCTAAAAGCAATAAAATCAACCAACCAATTAAAATTAACAAGCTAGCATACATGTCAAAGGCCTGCTTTGATTGTTTTTGAAAAACGTTGTTTGCTCACAGAACAACAGAAAGCAGCCTCCCAAGGCCTGGGAGCAACCTCCAGGACAGCCTGCTCTTGCGTCCTCACCAAACGTACTTTCGGTGGTGGCAGGACCAAGAGAAGAGCTTCCTCCAAAGATTTTAAAATGCGGGCAGGCTTTTCTGGGGAAAAGTGTTCTTTGGTGTAGAATACAGGTTGTATATAACAGTATTTTATGTGACCAGCTTTGCATAGGCAGTACTTTGACTTGTACCGGAAGCAGACTACTAGTCGTGAAGCTGTTGTCACAATGGAATCACATGCTTTCTGAAATGAGCTCTAGTCAATAAGTTGGCCACAGTTTTCTGGAGGAGCTGAAGATTCCAAATAGTTTTCAGAGACGTCCCCCTACCTCTTACCTTGTCCGAACAACAGTCATACTTAACCCTGATCATACCATGGCATCTCTGAGAACTGGTGTAGCTAGTGCAGTAGCCTTTGCTAAACAAAGACATCCCTGCTCATACAGGTTTATGAGTGAAACCTGGAGTACACTAAACTGTAAATCTGAGCCTTCAAGGGGAATCTAACCCCAGCTGGCAAAGACTGAATCCCAATTCCCTGATCCGTGTTCTTTTTTACTTTCCAGGAGCACCTCTGCCTTACTGGGATTAAGCCTCAATTTATTCACCCTCATCCAGCCTGTTACTGGCATGAGGCACTGATTTAGAGCTATTACAGCTTCTTTGGCTTTAGGTGGAAAACCAGGAGAAGGTTGGCTGTCATCAGCAGACTTGGTAGCACCAGGACCTAAAACCCCATCGCCCAGTCATTTCATGTATAGGATAAGGATGGGATGGGATAAGATGGGACATGTGGGATACCACTGGTTAACAGCCACCGTCCCATTGCATCACCTTTTGAATTTGTCCCTCAAAGAATTGACTGGAGCCACCAAGTATAATATCTCCAAGTCCCATCCCTGGCAGATGTCTCAGATTACTAGCATTATTAGTAGTACTAGTACTACTAATTCTTGTTATTGTTACTTTTATGTTCCATATTTCTCCCCAAAACAACTTACATGATGAACAGTATCAATGGTCGTTGATATCAAAGCAACATACTTAATTGCAGATTGTTTGTGTCAAATATATTTTTTACTAGATTTTTTAAAATTTAGAACTCAGTTCTTAAAATGCCCATTATAAAAGGAATGCATGGTTTATTGAATTGATGGAGTAGGAGTTGCTGATAATGGTGTAAGGAACTGGTAATCCACAGCACTATCCTCCTGCTTAGTGGGTGAGATGGCTTGTTTTTGACAAGAGTGCACCAAAATTCACCAAGTTATTTGTCACTAGAACAAAAAGAATTGAGATCTTAAAAATTCAAATGTGGGAGAAAGTCAAACAGATCATTGTCCTTGCAATAGTGAGCTTTAAATAGAATCGGTGAGAATGCAACCCTATGAGTTTGTGCATCTCTCTTCCCCTCTTCTTCCACTGGAACACCCCTGTTTTGACCTCTGCAAGGTTACCTGAGGCCGCTTTTGTGACTTCAGAAGGCAGGGGCCACCGTTCCTTCCAACGTGGGTGCAAGGGACTTGGAGTGTTGGGTGGTGTTGAAAAGAAAGGAAAGGAAGGAGGTGGAGAAGGGCTGTGGGATGCATCAGGTCCTGGAGTTCCCCTCCCAAAGTTATAGCGCTGCGTGGTTCTTTAGGAAGGACAATCTAAAGATTTCTGTGGTCCTGGGGTGCAGTCCAGTAAACATAGTATTCTTCCCTAAATCTAGTTAAATGCAAAATAATTTCAGTCTAAATGTAGATTATTTATATGGATTATAATTCTGTATTCTCTTTTTGTTTTTTTTTCTAGGAAATGAAAATTATAAACAAGTAGCCATGTGTATTCTCTATCACATAAGCATGGATGATCGCTTTAAATCGATGTTTGCATACACGGACTGCATACCTCAGGTAGGTCTGCTTCTTTTCACATGACAGTTTCCTTCATGCTACTCCCAGCTTCATTTGCCTTGCAGTAGAGTTCAGAAGGGGACAGTTCAGATGCCAGTGTCCTTACTTCTATCCTGGTAATGCTCTTTCAATTATTATTGTTATATCCGGGTACCTCCCATTTTTCTTAGATTAATGAGTGATTTGTTTCTGTTTCCAGTGGCAGGCAAGTGCTGCCTGAATATTTTATAGGAGTAACAGCATTGTTTCATTGATAGCCATGGTATCTAGATATTTTAAATCCATTTAAAAACTGCTGCTTCAGAAAAATCTCGGCAGCTGTTTTGAATGTATTTATTTTCCTGCTCGGATTCTCAGGATTGTTCTGTTGTGTTCATGCTATTTTTATAGTATGCTCAGTTTAGGTAATACTTTAATTTTTGACTGTGGAGCATTCAAACCTGTTACTTTGTTGCTTATTGAGTACTTTGCCCAGTAAAATGCTTATTTTATTTTATTTATTTTCTAGACCAGTTCTTGGTATACAATCAATATATAGGACTGAATTATGTAGTGCCAGCACCAGCTAACATAAAGCACACTTAGGTCCCCCTCATTACAAAGGAAAGGCATTGAACCACATGCTTAATTACTAACTGGAGTTGGTGAAGTAAGTGTGAGGCACGTGTAAGTGTGGCTGGATCGGGCCGGTGGGCTTGGTCCCGCCCTTGTCCTGCTACAGGACGGCCCGTCCACATGCACGGAACTCAACTTGCTCCATTTCATGGGGTCTGCTCTCACCAGGACGAACGTGGGGAACAACCCACAGACCCAGCTGGTATGATCACCAGTATTGGCTGGTATTGTAACTTAATATGATTTTAAAATAGGCAAGTAAGGGCAGATATGATTCATAAGAAATGAACATGTTGAGTACAATCTTATGCATGTTTCAGAGGTAAGTCTCACTGAGTTCAATGGGATTTCCCTCCCTCCAGTATGTGCACACAGGATTGGGGCCAGACCATCTTAACAGTGAAACTCTAGTGAATGAATTAAACATTAGACATTCTCTTCAACGCGGGAACATAAGCTGGAGAGCCATCTTTAATTTGCATCCTTTTAGCATCAAATCCATAAGCAAGGCAGGTGACAAACCTGCTTTTTAAATAGTGGACTTATCATTAGTGATTTATATATCATTTGGAACATAATATCATTAGTTCCATTACTGCATATACAAAACAATATATTAGATTTCAACAGAAAAAGATGAAACTAGACAATACACATTCAACAAATCATAAAGCAGTAAATTTTGATTGTTCCCGGTACTATGGATGGTTGTATTGAACCCTGCATCTTCAGGTTACCATATATTTTAGCAACACTCTTTTTCACAACAAGCTTGCTCCCCAGCTAAACGGCAAAGAATTCTGTAGCATTTTAAATACTCAGCAAGTGATTGTGGTACAAGCTTTGAAGAATTATCATGAATTTGGGCATGCATAAGGCAGAGTGGGAAGGAGGTGTCATAAATAGGTTAAAAAGACATGACATGCAGGTAGTTCTGATAGTGACGATCACATTATTAATAATGGCCATTTTCGCTTACAAAAGAGCTGTTGATAACATAAATGCCCTGGCATGAGGTAAGCCAATTAATAAATGGAGTGTGATTAAAGGAGGAAAAACGTATCTGAGCCTTGACTTGAACCTTGTTGCATTGCATAACTCAGCACTTTCTCACTGTACTCTCCCTTTGAAGCTTCTCTGGCCCATGATAGCTGCCTTTAAGTCAGTGGCAGCGTGTCGTGGGAGGCTGAAGCGTCCTTCCACGGGCCCTTGAAGATTGCCCTTTCTGGTGTCAGATATGTCTGTTTATTCTTTTCCGCTGAGGCTGCCCTGTTTGTCCTGCAAAGCAGAAACCATTTCTGGAAATTGATGGCATACATCACATTGGAAGACAGGAGGCCTCTGATGTCGTGGACGATATAATTCAGTTCCGTAACAGGATTGCCCCACTAGATATGGAGACGGAGTTGGCATCTAGAGTTACTGCACATTCTGATTCCTGTATCCGTATCTTTGTTACATGATCTGATGTTAGCAAGTAGCTGTTTTAATTCAGACTTGTTTTGACTCCCATACCTAAGCTGCTGTTACTGTGATGATGCTGATGGGCAGCCCAGGACATTATTCTGCCTGGAGCAAAGCATAAGATGCCCCCCGCCCCCCACCCCAACAGACTGCAGTTCCGTGGACTGAAAGCTGAATCTTACTTCAACACTTTTTAATTGGAAAAAACACTGCTTGCCATGCTATCATTAAAAAGCCTGCCGTTATGAGAATTTTCATCTTGCCGTTCAGAAATTAAATTCTGAATCCTTCGGTTGTAATAAATCTACAGATTATACATAAATGCCCTGTGAACTGTAGAGCACTCACCTTTGTGAGCTAGAAGCTCCTGTGGGGTTTCAGCATGCAACCCACGTGTGCTTAGGGTTGACTGGCATGGACTGTTTGGTGGCGAAGAGGAATGCAATATTGCTGGAAAACATTCTTGCCTTGCTTGAGTTAATGGGTGCTGTTTAGTAAGAGTTAAAAGTAATTATTAACAGTCCATTCTTGTTTAGACCCCAGCCGTGCATGCTTTATTTAAATAGGTGCAAATGCCTTCCAGATGGTTATAAAAGCATTTATAGGTAATAGTTTAGCCAATCAAAGGGCATGATTGGGCAGTGATGTCATAGTGATATTCAATATTCTTCCACACAGCAGTAGACAAACTTCTCTGGAGTTGACTTATCCACATGTTTTCTGCCACAGTTGTCTGTTTGGCTCCTCTTTGATCTACAGGTCTCTTTTCAGCTTAGTGCTGGTAAGCGTCCTCTCTTGACAGCCCGCTTTGCTTTTGTCCACCATTATCTGCTGAAGCTCAGAAACCAGAGCGTTACTTCAAACATGAGAGTTAAGGAGTAGCCACTCAGAAGAGATTCTTTCGGCATGCAGTTCTGGCATAATCATTCAAAGATGTTTGAGCTGGGGATTGGGAGAGGGCTGGACTGAGGTGTATGGAAAGAAAACTGTGGGGGTTGGCCTCTGGTCAGTGGTAAATAAGTGAAGTCAGGTGCCAGAGAGTCTAGACACAGTGATTTTAGGCCTGGGCTGTGGTATCTGATACTCAATATGGGACTTGCCTGATTGAAAACTACTGCCTCTTCATTGTACGTGCAGCAGCTCTTTTACTGCTTTCCTGCTAAATGAGGAAAAGATGACAATGGGCATAGTAAAAGCAGAACAAATTTAATTTTAATATTTCCTATTTGGTAGCAATTACGCTCCCCTTTGAAGTGGCACGGGTAGCGATCAAATTAAATGAAGACATAGTAGGAAACGCAGAGCTCATACCAAAGGATTATTCTAAAAACTTGAGCTAGTTTAGGTAAAACTGCAGGACTTTTCCCACTTCTAGCAGGAATGCAGCGAAGTACTGGTAATGTACTTTGGCTTCCTTTAATTTTCCTCTTAATGAAGAGAGAATAGTTAGATTTTTAGATGTGCAAAGATAAGATCTTTAAAATGGTGGTCATGAGACATACAGCAAGCCCATTCAGCTCGGCACCTCAGTTTCCTGGCTGGTGCCAAAGGCCAGAGCGTGCCTCCTTTGGGTCTGCAGCCCCAGAGCAACTGGCCACTGGAGCTGAGTGCTCCTTCTGGCACGGTGGGGGAAAGGCAGCTCCGCAGCTGCCCCCTCTGCCCCCAGCGGTCTTTGCCATTGCGCTTTTCCTGGGAGACAAATTGTGCATCCTCTTTTGGTCCATGCTTGCTCCGAAAGCAGCATGAGGACTGACAGAAAGAAATGCTTTGGACTGCATGCGCTTAAACTATGGAAATGGTTTCTGGCTCTAGAGGGGGATGAAATGAATGAATTCGTGGAGGGAACGGCTATCGGTAGCCACTAATTATACTGGCTACATGCTGCTGTGAATGTCAGTTACTGGGGAATAGCAGCGCAGCAGGGCAGTTGCCCGCACACGCTCACAGAGGGCATGCCACGGCCTTGGCACTGCGCGCTCCAGGAGGTTCCTGCGCCACCGCCAGGACCACCCCAGCTTCACGGGCAACATACCCAGCACCCCTGGCCATCCTCCCGCTGCGGTTGTCATCACCAGCCTGGGGCCCATTGACATCCAGGCCACAGTCCCTCTCCTTGGATTCTGGTGCCTGCAGCTTGGACCCAGCGTCCTGCTCACCCTTGGCGCTGTCGGAACCATCTCTCAGCCATTGGAGGACTCAGACTGGCTTCCCAGCGTGGCGCAGGGTCGCGTTGTCCGATGCAGTAGGCCCTCCTGTTCCTCAATTCCCTTTCCCAGTGAGGTCTCGGGATGGCTTCCACCCACGGCTAGGTGACAGCAGTCCTCTCTCTCCACTCCCTGATCCAGGGGCACGCGGTGTTCTCCCACCTCCTCACTCTCCAGTTCCCCTGTAGTCTCTTCACCCCACCAGTCTGACCCCCCACACCAGCTTGGAGCCTCTAGTAATCTTTCGCCATTTCTAGGAAGCTGCCTTGCATTGGCTCAGATTCTCAGTCCATCTTGGCCTGTGCGGTCAGCACTGACTAGCAGTGGCTTGTCAGGGTTTCAGGCAGGAGTTTTGCTGGTGACTGAACCTGGGCCTCACCCCTTTCTCAGAGACTCCTTATAAAAAGGCTTCCCTTTCTAAAGAGAGGTTTGGGTCTCTCCACAGTCTCCTCCCCCACCTCCAACTGAGGACTGAAAATGAAGGGGAGGGTTGGCCATGCTTCCCCCATACTGATTGCAGTGCGAAAGGTCTCTCCTTTCCCTTACAATAGGAGAAAACTTGAGTCTAGGCCAGGGTGGGGTAGAATAGCTATCAGGGCTCAGCCAAGGTAGCAAAACCCAATACCATAAGGGTGGAGAATGAGGCTAAACTATGGGTTATATTTGAGTATGCTTATGCAGACTTACATCTCTTTTATCTGTCTGGGTTGCCCCCTCCTTACACATTTTCCTAGCGTTAGTGAGGAGCACTACTAGAATGGAACGGCAGAGATAAAAGAAATTTTGCATCACACAGCCACTGTCTTGGGCACAGCACTTCCTGGTTCCCTTTGATACCACTTTTTTGGATCCATTGCTGTGATCCTTACATTTCAGGCTGTGGGGCGGTGGCAGAAAGGGCACAGCTTATGATTTAGTCTAGCGCTGCTGTCTCGAACCCTGCAGTGTTTTAAGAAAATGCAAGTATGTGTGCATGTGCTTGTGAAGATGGTTACAGCCCTGGTGCCAAGGAAGGGGGGTGACGCTTGGCTTCTAAGGGGCACTTTTTAATCAAAATTCCAGTAGCTGCTTTCCCATGCACAGGAGAAACACAGGGCGATGCTCATGGATGGGAGAGTGCTGTGGAGTGGGCAGGAACATGCACTGTTAATGTGGGCAGTGTTACAAATGCCTAATACAGAAGAACCAACATGTGCAGTACATAAGGAGTTTCAGTGCAGAAAATTATAAGAACTTGAGGAAGAGTTATCCTCTGCTGGCCATTTTACAAGATTGTACAAGGCCCAGAGAGAGGATGCTTGAGCACTGGGAGGTCTCATCTTTGTGTTCTGGTTCATGTTCCTTCACAATATAAAACAAATGTACTGTTGTTAGTTTCTCCTGTGTTCCTATTAACATTGTATAATGTATATGTAATAAACATGTGGTGTTTACATAAAAATTTGAGAAGGAGCCTTCTATCGTAGGTTATACTTGTGGGATTTGGTAATTTATATGGCCTCCTATGCATCCTGTATTTTATTTACACTTTGCTTCATCATTAATTCACTACCTTCTGGTCCTTGCCCAAAAGTTGTTCAAGAACATAATCTTGAAGTGCTGCTGGTCTACGACTTAAACTTGTAATTTATTTGTGGCTAAGACTGTTTACCAAGGTCTGCCACCATAACTGAGCAAAGCTTGGGGCAGACATGTTGAGATAACAGTGCTGTAGATGTGTGGGTTCCATGTAAGTGGTCATGGGGGGCCTGTGGGCTCTCTGAGTCAAGCGCCCTGAGTGTCATCTTGCTTTCCACTCCACCTCCCTGAGAATCCGTGGCATTGCACAGGTGTGTGAGCAAGGTGTGGTAAGGTAGGGAAGGAGCACTCTGCAGGGCTTTAAATGCTGCTCTTTTCTGTCGTTGGTGCTGACCCCCAGGAGCAGCAGCCCCCAGTTGACTTTTTTACAGGACAACAGTCCTTCACCAGAAAACCGTGCCAGATCCCTTTTAAAGAAATGCGCTTTTGTGCTGTTGCTCTTAAAAGTTCTGACGGCTTCTCATCCGTGTTCTGCTAGTTAATGAAGATGCTGTTTGAGTGTGCTGACGAACGTGTTGACTTGGAGCTCATTTCCTTCTGCATTAACCTAGCTGCTAACAAGAGGAACGTGCAACTCGTTTGTGAAGGTGAGGATCGAGCCGCAAGCTTGAGGCTACTGCCTAGTGTAAAGTAATGGCTTTCTGGAGGAGAGTAGGATTTGGGTGTGCAAACAGCGCTGTGAGCCAAACTGCATTAACCGTTTTCTCTGGTCAAGCTGAAATTGGATGGCAGTTCGGTCCATGTGACATGGCAGGCGTTACCCAGTTGTGGTGATTCACCGTGATGAGTTGCCATGGTTGAGGGCCGCAGCAAGATGCAATGCTCTGGTTCCGGGTTCCTCCCTACCCTGATTGCTTGTTGCACTGTCCAAATCCAGACGTCACAGCCCTTTGGAGAGTGAACTATGGAATAGCTGAGAGGCCATTGTATACATTGCGTTACGCATTCAGAATCTTAATGCCTGAGAAGAGCCAGACACTTCATCTCCCTGACACCTAACAATGTGAAAATAATGTCATTGTCATGAATTTCCTTCATATACCCATGCTCCTTTAGGGAAAAAAGACTATTGTTTAACTTAGCAAAATGATGCTTTCATGTATTTATTTTTATTAAGCATTCTTGTATACCACTTGATCTAACAAAATCTGTAAGCAGTTTACATGTCAAAAGTATTAAAGTCATTATTAAAATACTAAGATAAACAATTATATCTCCAAAACGGTAGCTAAGTAATAAAAGATAATGGGGCTTAAAGCTACCGGACTGTGGTTCCTGGAAGAGTACCCCAAGGACAAAGGATTTTTCATATTCTGCCTTTAAGAACGGCCACAACTTTGGGCAGACAAGTTCAGATCCATCTGCGGAAGGAATGGCCCTGCCTGTCCCACGTGGAGGCGCCTTCCAATGAGCAGTAACTTGTTAGGCTGTACCTTAAATTAGTTAGAATTATCATGAAAATTACAAAATAGCACACACTCAGTTTTACTTCTATGGCTTATTTTCCTGAGTAATACAATCTTTTATGTGTGGGTTATGTTGTAATGTTGTCATTCTGCAGGAGTGCGTTGCTCTAGTGAAAACAGGTGGTTGTCCGTTTGTTTGTTCATTTGTTTTAAAGTCCCAGCTTCCTTGGAAGAATTTTTGAATTGTTTCTGCTGAATTATTTAACTCTTTCTGTGGTGTTCAGGCTAAAACAACCTTCTGTAGAAGGTGTGCTTTGTGGTGGTGTTTGAGTGTTAATAAATAATGGAGTAACTACATGCTTGATGGTTGGAACTCCAGAAGGCTGGGGTAGCACACCTTCCCTTTTTCAGAAACCATGGCGGGCTTTCCTCAGCGGGATGTGTTCTTCTCTTTACTTGCTTCTTCTATATTTAATAAAACGTTCCACCTGTTTACGTCCAATGGAAATTAGGCTTTCTGCTTTATAGTTCCTCAATTCCACTGAATCCTTAAAAAAGTGATTTTATTGGCTATTTATAGCTGATGCTGACCAAGCACCAATCATTAACTTATTCATATTATAAATGGTTTGGATTCCCTCTTTGTGAATGTGCATCAAATAACTGGTTCATACATTTCTCCTGTTTTGTTTTATGATGTTATTTTTTTTCAGGAAATGGACTGAAAATGCTAATGAAGAGAGCGCTGAAATTCAAGGATCCATTACTGATGAAGATGATAAGGAATATCTCTCAGCACGATGGACCAACCAAAACTTTGTTTATCGTAAGCATCTGTGCCTTCCCAGTGTCCCTCAACCTCGTGCTGCAGCAAGGGCTAGTTCTAGGCTATTGAAATGATACATCAATCCAATTTGGATGTAATGGCAACATTCGGCAGCACTCTGTAGATTGATTAATCACACTGCAGTGCAAGCTGCTTCTAGTTTCCAGCAGCACCCTAAAAATGCATTATGTGTAGGTTGACTCTGCAGAACATCCAGGTGTTTTTGTGCGAGCCGTGTGGCAAACGCCTCCATGTTAGAGTTCCATGTGGCTGTTCAGTCAGGCACTTTGCACCCTTAATCCCATGCACTTTTCCAGGTCACAACTGTTGCGTGTCTGAAGTTAAGGTGACATCTGTTGATAAGATTTGTCCTGTTGAGATGGGTCTTTAGTTTTAAAAAGCTGTGGATGCTTGAAAACACCCGAACTGTGTGCAGAGATGTCTTTGGTTCAGTTTCCAGCTCTGCCATGAAAATACTAGTTGGTCATAGGCAAGCCATTTGCTTTCAGACTCATCATCCCCACAGCCTTAAGAGTCACCCCTGGCAGTAAGAAATTCTCGTAGGCTCAGCATCCCTAAAGGCATCCTGGAAGACCAAAGCTCTTGTCAAGGAGAAAAGATCCTGGCATTGAAAAATTGCGTAACTGGAAAGAATGCTGCAAGTCACTAAGGTTTACATTCGGGTTATGACTGAGTAAGGCAGAAGAGTGGAGTGGGCGGGGACGGTGTCCATAGAGTTGCTCTGATGCATCTCCCCCACTGCTTTGTCCTTTATAAGCATGTCTTATATTTGCTAAATGAGTTTCTTGCTTGCTTGTTTAGGATTATGTTGGCGATCTAGCTGCCCAGATCTCCAATGACGAAGAAGAGGAATTTGTGATAGAATGCTTAGGAACACTGGCCAATTTGACTTTGCCTGATTTGGATTGGGAACTTGTGCTGAAAGAGTACAAAATGGTACCATATTTCAAAGATAAATTAAAGCCAGGTCTGTGTTATGAATAACAGGTCTTTATATTGATGGATATAGATATATAGCTATAACTACAGAATAGATATGTATGTATGTATATATTTCTGTCTCTGTCTTTGACACATATAAGTTACTGTGTTGCATGTGGTGGGTATACTAACTGGCTTTTTTCCTTTTGAAGTTTTAGTTAGCAATTAAAAATAATGGTAATAAACATTATAGTTAACTTTTAAAGGTGATATTTTACTAAATTCCTAGTTGGGCTAGCTACTGCTTTTCCTACTTAAACCCTAAGTTTTGCTAGCACATTAAAATATGCTGTCAGAGTCTTCCAGCAAGAGTGTTTGTATTCCAGCAGGATTTGGCAGTGTAGTTTCTCTGTTAAATTTATCAGGTTCTGCAGAAGATGACCTGGTCTTGGAAGTGGTGATAATGATTGGAACCGTATCCATGGATGACTCCTGTGCAGCACTGCTAGCTAAATCTGGGATTATTCCAGCACTTATTGAACTGTTAAATGGTATGTATCCCACAATATTGTGGGAAATACACAGTGCCCACTTGCAGAAGTTTGTAAGCAGGAAGCATTAAAATGAAGCCTGCATTCTGAACGTGTACCTATTACACATTACATTTATTTATTTTCTCATGATTCTCATTTAGCAGTGTGCTCAATCAAGCTTTGAGAAATTTGGTCCCCCACAAAAACACACCCAAAAAACAAACAAACAAACAAATCCACCCTGTGTAAAAATTAGTGTTACTACAAAGAGCAACAAAATACAATAATATTTTCAATGGGAGGTTGAATAACAGGAGAGACTAGGGGTGAGTAGTCAGGAGACTGACGCTTGAATTGCAAACTCTTCCTGCTGCCTTGCTCAGACGGGCCATCCACGCTGGGTCCAGTTTCTTTCGAAATGAACTAAGCAGAGTTTGTATCCTGGCTCATTCACGCCTTCTGCAGTCTCTTGCTACTGCTCAAGCCAACTAAGTGTCACTCTGCTGGAGTGGCTAACAAGACCCAAGCTGCTGCTTTTCAGTCCAGAGACGTTCCCAGGGACTCCCTTTGGCTGACAAATGATACCATTTACAGATAGAAATCGTAGCACTTGCATTCAAACCCTACAATATTTGGCCGCAAATGCTGCCCCTTATTATTACATTTCTAAAATTTATATCCCACCAACAACAAGGGCTATAACATGGTGCATTTTCTTCTCCGCATCTGCTGTATGTGTAAACCAGTTTAAATCTTTCTCCCTGAGAGCAAGTAACTATGGACGTGGGGGTTGTAGCTGTCCTGTGAGATGCAGGATAAGGAACCCTTAACAGTCTTTCAGGACAGCACCGTTTCCGCCTTCAGTAAAATGCAGGGCATTAAAGTATCCCAGTTTAAAATTGGTATGTTGCCGTCCATACGTTCACCTGGCTTACCCTAATCCGGGGAACTGAATGGATCTCCTTCTCGGTTTAAGTGTTTCTACTCGGGACTTTAAACTTTAACAGCAGCAATTCATTTTCTTCTGTTTAGCTCAACAGGAAGATGATGAGTTTGTCTGCCAGATCATTTATGTGTTTTACCAGATGGTCTTTCACCAAGCCACTAGAGATGTCATCATCAAGGAGACTCGTATCCTTTTCTGAAGAAAACATTCTTTGCAAACAGGGCTTTTAGTTGTTCTTCCAAGTATTAAATGTTGTTCCAAGGAAGAATAATTATGGGTTGATGGTGGATCACGCATGGGATCATTTAAAATAATTTCAAGAAGTAGCTGAATGTTTCCTAGCCTTATGCAAGAATCCTCACATGCTGTTGCCATACCTTGCATTTGCCCTTGAGATTAGTAGTGATGTAGCACCATAGGAATGTAGGAAGCTGCCTTTATACTGAGCCCATCTAGTGTTGCTGACGCTGACTGGTGTGGAACTCCAAGGGTTCGGACAGGAGCTTTCCAGACCATGGCTGGAGACAGCAAGTGCCGAGACTGAGATACCTGAGACTTTCTGTCTCCATCCCATTGGGTCATGACCCTCTCAGTCCAAAGCAGCTGTTGGCTGCAGCTTAATGTGGAGCTAATGGCAAGTGGATTCATGGCTTCCACTGAGAGCATCCCTGAAGCATCCCTGGGTGGCCGTGTGAGTACACAAGGTGTCCTTCCTCCTCTCCCATACCAACATAGACCGTCTCCCCCACAATTAGACAAGCACCACAAACGGAACGCAAGCTCCTGTGCATGAGACTGCATAGGGTTCTGAGACTGCCACGATCGCCTGAGCCAGCGCTTTAAGGGGCATGCATGGATACCTTGGTGGATAAACAGAGTGACTAATAAAAAGATAAATCATGTGAAGAGTATTTAATATACATGCTTTGGCTTCTGTCCCCATCAGTAACTCTGAGTGGTTGGATTTGAGGAATATGGGCTCAAGCCCATGGCAGGTTTGCTTTTTTGGCTTATTCCCTGCCTTTCAGTTAAAAAGGCGGATAGAAGGAGAGAATTCTGATGGAGGATCTGATTGTGAGACATTTTTGGTTTTTAAAGGACCACATTTGCATATTTTACTCCAAGTTAGTATGCAGTCTCTTGCGTCTGCAAAATGACGCCCAAGTTACTATCCAGGCTTGTACTGCTTTGTTAAAACCCTCTTGCACCTGCCTCTCCTGGAAGAATCCATATTGGGCACTTTCAGGAAATGGTACTTTCCTGAGGCTCCTTGGAAGGATCGCATGGGCTTTCACCTCTGGACCACCGAATTGTAGAGTTTGTGGGCTGATCTAAATATTTTTATCTTGCTCTGTAAGTCAGATTGGCTACAAAGATAAATAATAAGATACCCTTTCCTTTGAGCTTATGCTCAAAAAGTCACAGCACAAAGTTGGACTTCCTGTAGAATCCTCCCTGGTATGTTTTTTTATCGCAAATTGGGCAGGCCAGCATTTGTGGACATCTAGAATTGCTTTCCATCCTTAACCTTGTCTTCCTAGAGGCTCCAGCATATCTTATAGATCTGATGCATGATAAAAATGCTGAGATCCGTAAAGTCTGTGATAATACATTGGATATAATAGCAGTAAGTTACTCCTGTTTGTTTATTTGCTGTCTGTTGTAAGAGCATGAATGAAAATGGGAAACTCTTACTCTGGCAAATGAAAATATATGTGCTGTTATGTTATATATGTCTGCTAGGTTGCAAAGTTCTTTCAGTAAAATTAGCCATTGCTGCTGCTGCTCTTTCAAATCACATGCTGGAAGTACAGGATAAGTGGGATTCCTTATCCTGTAAGTTGTCCGTTGCATCTTTGCTATCTTATGCATTTTTAAGAATTGCGTGGTTATTTATTTCTTTTCTATATTTATTTTATTTCCATTTTACTGTATAAAATACAGTACATAAAATGCTTAAAAAGGCAAAGATTAATTCAAAGTAGCATTAAAATACAATAAAATGCAATGCAGATGCGATAACGATCCCCCAAGCCAGCAACATTCTCTTCTCTGGATTAACTCTGTGTTCATCTCTAACCCGTCTTAGCTGATCTAAGCCACTGATTCAGAACCTTCACTCTCTTCCCAGAGCCATCAGCACGTTAACATTGTGTCAGCCCCATTCTCCAGGTTATTTCCGGGACGTTTTTATGTAGATGCGTTTTTATTATCTTTTGTGAAAAAAGAAAAAAAATGTTAAGTTCAACAAGAGCAGATAAAATATGCATTGATAGCCATTTGGTCCTCAGTAAACCAGTCATTCAAATGTTGTGAGCATAGCTGTATCCTCCATCTATTTTGTTTCTCTTTCCGTTGTTACAATAGCAGTTCTTTGGGTGTCAAAGGGGCATGGGGGTTCCATTCGCATCGACTGTGCACTGAGTTCTAGAAACCGGGTAGATAATATGAGAGGAAATGCACATCGTGGCGGAGGGAGCCCTGAGAGCTGCAGACAAGTAAGGCTGCCGCTTGGGTGCCGTCGGGAGAAGCTCCTCCGTGGCTTTGCTGGCCCTCAAGATGGCCAGTTACCAGGCAACTTCTCCAGGTATCACTTCCTCCCATGGAAGAAGATGGTGCCTCACTCAGTGACCTCTCCTGTGCAAGGAGAGACCTGGCCAGCAAGGTCCAGTCTGAAACTGAAGCGGTCCTGCTGTGATACTGCAATAACACGAGCATGCATTTCCAAAGCAGATCGCAGTTTCATGGGGATGGACACCACACTGGAAGTACAGCTGAGGTTTTTCTGGATTCTGGAGCCGAAAGGCGTAACTGCCTCGCTGATCTATTTTAGACCAGTCTGCAACCTTCTGTACCGTTGGCACCGACCAGGAGGGCTTTTAGAGCAGGGGTTTGTGGTCTTTCAGAACCACATTTGGAATAGGAAAACGTATCCCATTTTGTGTGTGTATGTTTCCATTCAACGTTATACCTGATTCTTAGTGATGGCAGTTTTTCATTGAATCTTAATGTACTGATTTGGCTTTTGCCTTCCACTAGTGAAAACACAGTTCAGCAAACTACACGCTGCACCTGTTGTCACTCTGGATCATGGCGTGACAGAGAACCCTAGTCCCTGGTTCCTGAAATGCAGGATAGAAACGTTGCTTTCTTCCCTTCCGTGACACACTTGTTAATTTTGCATTTAAACCCAAGCCATTTCTTTGGAATCATAGTACTGAAGATCCCTTCACTTCCTAACAGGAATATGATGAAGAGTGGGCTAAGAAGATCCAGAGTGAAAAGTTCAGATGGCACAATTCCCAGTGGCTGGAAATGGTGGAGAGTCGACAGATGGATGAAAACGAGCAGTTTTTGTATGGGGACGACCGCGTTGAGCCCTATATTCATGAAGGGGACATTCTGGAAAGGCCTGATCTTTACTACAATGCTGGTGAGGCTGATGCAGGTTGTGGTATTCCTTCTAGCACAGTAGAGACTCTGCGGCGAGCGGCTTCATGTGCCCAGTCTCATAAAGAGGTGGCGCCCAAGCACATCCCTTAATCCTGCCCTCTGTTCACCAGCTTCCTATGGCAAAGGCACCTAGATGCGTTTTCCTTTATGCAGGAAAGCTACAGTGAAGACAGGGTTTCTTTCCCTGGAAAGGAAATGACTAGACACAATTCCTGTGAGCGAATTTAAGCCTGTTAATAGATGGAGGAGTAGTCTCAGAATGCAAGCACTGATATTTATGAAGAATTGGCTGGGTAGGAGGAAGCAGCATGGGACTGATGCAGACTTGTACTTAGCCTGCTTCTGTGTGATAGGTGGTGCCAGTTGGAAAGATAGGGTACCACCAATCCCAATACCCTGATCAACCAACTGCCAGCTCCCATAGGAAATAAGGGAAGTGTGTCAGTAGACACAATTTAGTTTAGGACCAGGACTACTCTACAAAATTTAACAGTGACTATGCAAAGTGTTCTTCAAGCAAGCACAAGCAGGAAATAAGACCACCATTTTCCAAAAGTGAATGAGGCAAGGCTTCCCTCTGTAAAAGCCATATGGATTCTTCCACAGATGCATAATACTTCTGTTATTTAATTTAAATTAAATTGCTTTTCACTGGTTAAAGCAGAAATTAAGGTTACAACTGGCTTGTAATTTCCTGGCTCTTTCCCCCTCCCTCCCCATCTATTGCCATTAAAAATCATTGTTCTGGGTTGTTTATTAGGGTCAACTTAAACATTTTTATTAGAAGATCTGCAATTTTGCATTGGAGTTTCTTTGGAACTCTTGGGAAAATGTCCTCCAGACCTGGTGGTTTGTTCATTTTTAATTTATTTGTGAAACCAAATTGATAAAATGTCATCATCTTGTAACCTCTGTTCGATTCAGTTCTTCAGCTTCTTGAGAATGTCAGTTCAGGCACTGGCACCTCCTCCTGCAGTGAAGGGAGACATAAGGAATTCATTCCGTTTCTTTGTGGTCTCCTCTATCCTCCTTTATTATATCTTTCACTCCCCTGTCATTTAATGGTCCAGCTGCCTTCCAGATCGGTTCTTTTGCTTCATCTTTCTCCTGCTTCTGATGCATTAAAAATGAGAGTATTGGTCTTCGATATTTCTGGCAATATGCACCTCAAATTATATTTTCATTTGTCTTATTGTTAGCTTAACTGTGTTTTACCTGAATCTGTGCTCACTTTTGTTTTTATTTTAGGGGAAGACACCCATTTTTCTGAAAGAAGCTTTTTTTTTTAACCCCACTGGTGTCCTCTTGGACATTTCCTGAACTTTGTTCAGGAATTCGAGCTGAGCTCCTCTTACTGTGGTTGCAAATCATTCCCTCCCTTCTCTCGCTTAGGATAGGAGGGTGTGTCACTTTTTATTCTCCTGCCCACAGGGTGATCGCTTCCCTTCTCCTTCCTCCCGATCTCCAGCCTTGTGGAGGAAAAGCAAGAAGAGACGAATGGCCCAAGCGCTTCTGCAGCAGCGTGCAGAGCGGCAGTTTCCCAGCCTCTGTCTTCTCCTGTTTGGATAGCTGCGCAGGGGAGGAGGAGACATGCAGGCTGCCCGGTGTGTTTTCGGAGCAGTGCTCCATTCCTGCAGCCTGGTCCAGGCAGGGAAGGAGCTCAGGCGACTGGTGATCACGCGGCTGTAACGAGCTGCATCTTCTCCTCTGCACCACTTCTGCCTGGGCTCCGGCAAGAGAGGGTTGGCTGACTTCACTTAGTGAGGCATAAATGGCTGTGACTGACTTTAATTGAAAATCAGGTAGATAAAACATCGTCCCTCATAGCCGTTCTTTCATCACTGCATGTCCTGTGGATTTTTGCTTGGCTCTGAGAAGCCTTTTGAACAAAATCCTTGATTTCTCACAGATGCTAAAGCAACTCTTACTTGTTCTTTCTAGGTAATTTGTCCTCTTTTTTCGGTTCTATTCAAATAGTATATTTATTAGGATAATTCCAAAAAATGCCTAAGTTTGAATTAATTTGGAAGCACCTATTTATTTCTGCATATCTTGAGACTCTGTGAAAAAACCAATGCATTTCTGAACCACAAGACATCTTACGAAGATTCTTGGAAGATGCACCTTTCAGGACTGTGAAAAGCCCACTCCACCGAGGGAGTAGCAGCTTCTCTTTGGGCCCATATTCAGGGCCGCTTCACGGTCACCTCTGCCTGCATTTACAAAGTGCTGCAGGCTCAACATCTGTGCCAAGGCAGACTGCCTTGGCAGTGCAAATTTTCTTCAGCAGCTCCACTGACCCACCTCTGGTAAACACAGAAACAGAGTGAGTCAGAAGGGTCCTCCCAGGCCATCTAGTCTGACCCCCGATCTCTCACTAGATTTCTCGCTATTATGAGCCTTTCCATTGTTTTTCCTACAATGGACGTAAGGCTAACTGGTCTGTAATTCCCCATGTCCCTTCTACTACCCTTTTTGAAAATTGGTACCACTGACGCCACCCTCCATTCCTCTAGAACTTCACCCGTTCTCCATGAGGCCTCAAAAATGGAGGCCAGCGGGTGTGAGAGAACCCCTGCCAACTCTCTAAGTGCTCTTGGGTGTAACCTGTCAGGGCCTGGCACCTTTGTAATGTCCAGTGCTCTGAGGAGCCCCTCAACTTCTAGGGGGGTGACTCTAATCTGTGCCCCTAAGTCCCCAGCCTCATCTAATCTCTTATGCGGATCTCCCCCGTCCTGCTTTGGGGAGAATACAGAGGCAAAATAGTCATTTAGCATCTGTGCTTGTTCCCTCATATCAGTCACTGGATCTCCTTCCTCCTTATTTAGTGGCCCCACCACTTGTCTCCCCTTCCTCTTCCTATTTACATGCTGAAAGAAGCCCTTTTTGTTGCTCTTGATATTCTTGGCAAGCTTGTTAGTGGCCCATATGAATGATGCACAGAGACCACGAACAAGACAGGCAGGTTGCTCCCGTCACTGCCATTCTCTGATCATCTGTGCATTCCCACGGCCCTGCCTGCCACACGCCTACTTGCATCTCATTTTCAATTTTGTATTGATGCTGAGGCAGTCTTTACTGTGGCTTTCCCTGTCTAAGCAAAGGTCCTTCCCAACCAGCCTCTGTATCCGAGGCCACAGTGTCAGTCTCAGAGAACCACGGTACATGGGTGAGATCTCTGAGATATACCTGCAGTGAAGGTGGGCAAAGGGTTCTCACCAAAACCTTCCCAGTGACAGGAACTTCCCAAAGAGAGGGATCACACAGGCGTGGAGTCTGTCTTTGTGAATGCGCAGATGACTACTGGAGTGCTTGTAAGCCTTTCTTCCGCTGTCCCAGCAGACGTAACATTGCCTTCCCTTACTCATCTCTTTCTCCCGTGTCACTCTGGCTAGTTGCCACTTTTCTGACGGGAAAATAATCTGCAGGAACAGCCATGATTTTCCCTATGTTGACCTTCTGCTTAAAAACAAAACAACAGCTTTGTTCTAGCTTGAGTCCCAGTGGCTCAGCTTTGCTTTTGCCCCCAGGAACTCATGAGGCTGCTCCACTGCCCAGACCTTGCTTTCCATACTCTGACTCTGCTTAATTCAGCAATGTAGCACCTCTGCTCCTGGATTCAAATTTCCCTTTAAACAAAAACCGGGACAGGGAAAGGTAATAGTCCTAACTGTCAAGTTTGTGGAATTTCTTTTCAAACACATATTTATAAGATGGTAAAGAGAAGTGAGAAATCCTTTCTCTTCAGCTGACAATGTGCCTTTTCACCACAGTATGTATGTATGCATGCATGCATGTATGTATGTATGTATGTATGTATGTATGTATTTATTTAGAAAATTTCTAGGCCGCCCCATTCGCCGAAGCCTCGGGGCGGCTTGCAAATAAGTATATCTTGTGCAGCTAATATCAGGCCTAGTGGGTCATATGCTCATAACAAAATGGATTCACTTTTTATGGCAAAATAGAGGGCAGCCAAACCCCTTGTTTCAAAGCAGTGGCGTCTTCCTTTCAGCAGAACCAGCTGAGAAGAAACACTCGCAAGCTCTCTGCTGTCCTCTCTTGCTCCAGTCCCAGACTCTATATGTTCTGTTTTTGTAGATGGACTGATAACGCATGATGGAGCAGTAAGTCCTGATTTCTTCAGTGATTACCACATTCAGAATGGAGACCTCGTGGGTCAGCATCCCTTCTCTGGCAGGTAAATTACTTCTAGAAGATGTTTTAGCTTCTATAAATTGGAAGATCACAAATTACTAAGTTTTTAGTCCTTGAACTGTAGATTTACAAGCACAAACTTGAGGGCTCATTATGCACAGCCAGCTTGAGAAGTCATAGGGTTTGAGTCTCTGCTATACTAATGGACTTTGATCTGTGCTTTTGACACAAAATATAGGCAGACAGAATCACCCAGATACACCGGTGGAATGGCCAAGGAAGGATGGGGGGCACTGGGGAGAAGCATACTTGTTGCTTGTTGTGCTCTTTCTTTTACCCCATTTGTCCATGGTCCTGTCGATGGTGCAGCTTTACAGTTGCCCTAGACCTGGTGCAAGAAATTTCTCTCGCACTGACTGGAGGAGGCCATCAGGCGAACTACAGGCAGGAATTGATCACATGGTTTGCCAAGGGACAGGGCGGGCCAAAACAGCCTGTAGAATTTGAGTTCTGGTACCTCGCTCTCGTTTCTCCTGACGTGACTGGTTTTTGTTAGGCGTGCAGAAGGAAGGTGGGCTGAGTACACATCAAAGCAACTGTCCTGCCAATATGGCAGCATTGGTCTGGTTCACACATAATGCTGACCATGGTTTATTTAACCGTTGGTTTGTTGTCCTACTCAGGATTTGCCTGGCAGATGATCAAATAAGCCACTGTTTTCTCACTCACTAGGTTGTTTCCATCCTCCTTGCCTGTCCCCTCTGTGTATCTCAAATGTGTTTGCACTTCTGTCATACTGGCATGTAGAGCAGTTGAGCTTTTTGGCTGCTCTTGGTTGCCTAGCCTACAGCCTGGCAAAACAATCCATAAACACCCCACGTTTTTGGATCTTCATATAACAATCTATGTAAAATAACCCAGAGTTTCCAACCCTACAGCAAACCATGAGTTCTCTTTCTGAGTTGTTTGTGGTTAACAGTTTACTAATACAGCTGAGCTCATTCATCTGACAATCCAGAATTTAACAGCGTCTAACATAGGTTAGTATGAAGCAGATTATTCTATCCTAATATTTCTGATTGCTACTTAGAGGTAACGCAACTCGAACAGAATACTCGACCATGCACTTTTTCAGTGCTATAACTGTTACGCAGATGTTCGTCTGCAGGCATCATTGCCTGGAAATGGGTTTTGACTGGTAAGCTGAGTCCCCATTTGTTAGTTGCTGTATTAACTAATTTGTATTGCTCTTTTTAACTAAATCTTCCTATTTAATAGTCACCATTGCAGTTGATGCTTCAAAAAGCCCATTGGAAAGTGAGAGGTGTTTCTCTGTCATGCCGAGAGCACCTTATCTAGGATGGCTCAGGGCTTTATGGGCTCCATAACAACCATCGGGCTGTCCCAACATGTCATTGGCCCAACACAGACAGCCGAGCACACGCAGGATCTGTTGTTGTTGTTTTCGTTCTCTTCAGCCAAGCACGGTGATAGTGCCCAGTGGTGGGTAACTTTGAATCCTTCCTTTTGCCATGGTCAGATCACTGCCTGCTCAGATTTAGACGGCTGGTGACTTTTCTCCTCTGCCAGGATGGGGACCTACTGAGATGGTCCACCTCCAGAAGTTGATGGATCCAGAGGGTTTCCAGGTGATTCTTGGGAAGTTTCTGGTTGATATGGCTGGGAGTTCAGTTGGATCCCTGGTCCATCTCTGGAATACAGAGACACAATTGTACCTGAAGGCCCTCTCTGTAGCAGAGTTCATGGTATGCCCCACAGCTGAGAGAGAGATGAAACAAGACGGGATGGCAAACTGAGAAAAACCCTGAGTGGATGAGTTCCAGGTATTACAGCTCAAGGATGCTGATGAGGTGCTTGGACAGGCTGATGCAACCACATCCCTACTGGATTCTTGTCTCTCTCGGCTTATTAAAGCTAGCAGGGAGGGAACTGTAGCTGGGTCTGGGAGGTGAATAATGCCTCTCTATGAAGGGAGCAGTCCATGCCACTTGAAAAAGGCAGCAGTGAGCCCACTCCTGAAGAAACCCTCCCTGGACAGCACTAGCATGTTGCCCACGTATCTCTGCAATGGCAGTGCACCACTGAGAGGACTGCCTGTCATGGCCAAAGGATCAGACCTGTTGGCTGTGCATTGCCGTGGCGCGTGATCCCGAATTGGCTGGGATGGGGCTGTGCAGTGTAGAAGCAGCCCTTAAATCGCAGATGAGGAATGTGTCGTCCCCAGATGTTGCGGAACTACAGTTCCTATAATTCTTCGCCCTTAAATATGCCAGCTAGCGCCAGTGGGAATTTAAATGATACAGAAGCAGATACGTTTAAGGGCTGACAAACAGACCTAAGTAACATTCAGAAGGCCACTCAGGCAGGGCGAAAGTTGTTTTTTTTTTAATATTCTTTGCCACACAAAAGCTCACCTTCTTGAAAATCAAGTAATATGACAATTCAGTGCTTTGCTGGACCATCTCTTCAATTTATCTTGGCAGTCTGCTCCTTTCTCATCATGCGACAACTTTGCGGGGGAGACCAACTAAGTGCACGTTGGTTCCACAGAGGATTATTTGACCTTTTTTCTCTGCAGGAATCACGGAACACCTTTTGATTAGGAGGCAAGTTTGTGAAACCAAGCAGTTGTGCAAACAGTTGCACAGAGGAGTATGGGAGAGCTGCGTTATATAGGTGCACTTCCTGCAGCAAGAAAAGACTGCAGGAGAGCCATTTTAATATTCCCCGGAATACCTAAGCCCACTAGATGGCTTTAAGATATTGATATAGGTTTATATCAATAAACGGTTAAAGGTTTGCATAAAATGTGAAAGCGCTCAGGACTGGGCAGCTTCATCTGCTTTCTTTCCAACACACACATTGTTTACCAAGTAATTTTTCTTGTTTGAAGAACTTAAGCATAGATGTTTGTAAAACAGCTTCTGAGGTCTGAACATCTGATTCACGGATGAGTCTGTTTTTGTAGTGGTGGACCATTGAGGTGGTAGGTTTCAGCCTGGAATAATCCAGCTTGAACAGCTGGGTCCCTCTGGGCTGCTGTTCAAGGATGATGATGGCTGCAGACTGGCTTGATTCTGGAGAGGTCGTCAGTGTGCCAGTGGAGGCCCCTTTCTCCTTCTGCGGAAGATGAGGGTGTCTTGATGTTAGTGCTGCTACTGTTTGCGCATAAGACCTTGCATTTTAAACTTACACAAAATACAGGTTTGTAAGGCATTTTGAAAACTGAACTTTTGGTTACAGTTGTTGGTAAAATAGAATTAGAAAACTGAAAGGAAAACATACTTTTATCTTGATCGTATGCACTTAAAAATGCTTATATTAGGTCTGAACTAAAATGGGTGAACCTTTTCATGAACCTTTTCTTCTCTACAAGATGTTCTCCTATGCTGTCAAATATCCAGAGTGTGTAAGTATGGGAGAAAAAGATTACCCCCCTTCAAGCGGCAGTTCATGAGATTACCTCTATTCTTCACAGTTTCTTTGCCAAGAGGAAGAGCAATCGTGCTATGAATTGTTTCGGTAGATATTTCAGCCCTTCTTCCTCATGGAAGCCTTTGTGCTGCGAGTGGAACCCTTTGTAAATGCAGCACAGTCATAGCTTATGAGGCCAAGCACTTGGAGACTTGAACTTTGGAGACCTGAACGTATCAGAGTTAGCTGCAAATGGGTAGTTTGTTTTCTGAATTTTACACATTTCGGAGGGCTGAATGCATTGCGAGTGGCCTTTGCTGCAGAGAAGAGGTGACATCAACACCAGGACAAAAGCATATTGCCGTGCGTGTCTTTCATTGAGAATGCGTGCATGTGCGCTGCCCATACTGCCCTTAATTGCCCAAACTGCTACGGGGGAATATCTTTGTAGTTCAGTTTCATATAGCCGAACTTCAGCCATCACATAGATTGTTACAGATGTTTAAAATGGCCTTTAGGTATTTGGTACATAATTGTCCATGGGGAATGTGTTCATCTATTCATCATTTGAGTCTTTCAGAATGTAGGAGTCTGCTAATGCACAGGCTACTCAGAAATGCAAATTAGTGCTGTGAGAACTGACCTCTAAAACCCCCTGTTTCCAGAACCCATCTGGGATTTATGCGCATTCTTGTCAAATACTTGGAAAAACTTTGAAGGCCTTTTGCAGGGCCTTTGGAGGCAATTTTGCAGGGAACTGCTTATGGTTCTTGCAAGTCACTCCCCACTCCTTCACCAGGAAAAGAACAAAAACAAAGATGATGGAATTTAAGAAAATGCTACTAATGTGCATCCTTAAAAGAATAATTTTGGGTTCAGATGCTGGGTAAGCCCATGCAGTAAGCCCGTGTGAGAGCTGTTCACCTTGGGTTGGACGACACACACACGTTTAAAAGGCGGCTTGCCACAGCTGTCATGTTCAAGAAACTATCCTGAAACATTACTGCCGTATGAGTTCTGCATTGTAGTATATTAGTGGCAGGTCAGGCAAATAAAACTGAGGTGCCAGGCTAAGGCACTCCAGAAATCCTTTGGATGATCTTTCCGTGTTTTCCTTCTTTCTAAGAATATTTATTAACAAACCCATCCATGCAGCTGTCCATAAGGCAAAGACTACCTAATTGGAAACACATTCTGTAGCAAATATTTTGTTTCAGATAGCAAAGGAGGGGGAGAGGAGGATTTGTCTAACAGAATAGACAGTGGTATTTAGATAGTGAATCCTGGTTTTCAGACATGTGTCATTACAGTTTTGAACTTTGTGGCGCCAGGAGCCAGTGTTTCCTGAAGCTTCGATTTAATATAAAATGCATTAGCATTCTGAGACATGAACAACAGAATTGCTAGTCTCCTGAGTTCCATATTATTATTATTATTATTATTATTATTATTATTATTATTATGTCTATACCGCCTTGTGGTCAAAGCTTTCTACTGAATTCAACTCACCTTTCCAGACCTGAATTGGCCTTGAATGGTAAATATACTTGCTGAAAAATAGTTAGAAAGTCAGGATTCTTTTATTATATTTCAACCATTCTGCAAGAC